TCCAGGATCCTAAAGTATGAGGCTATCTTGCTAGAAAAGGATGACCTGACTTTAACTACTGATAAGGCCCTAAATCTAGCCACTTTCTTAGAAGGGGAAGCAGGAGGGAGGAGCCCCACACATAAATGTTTAGATATTATTGAATACCAAATGAAAGTAAGGTCAGACCTCAGGGAAACTCCTTTCCAGACCAGGTTCCATTTCTTTGTGGCTGACCCTCTCAGGTAATTGAGGGAAAAAGACAAAATGAGTAGGCCTTGACTATAAAAGAAATCAGGCTGACTCCCTAACAATTGGTCAGCACACACTTGCCAATTGTTTGCTCTAAATCAGACTCTTAAAAATCAGCCCACTAAATAAATCTTAGAGACCAGATTACCTTAGATTAAATGCCTTCCCATAGCAGTACTCAGGATAAGGACGGCCCCTTGGAAAGACATTGGCCTCTTCTCTTATGAAATGCTTAATGGGCTTCTTACCTTACCTCTGTTCCTGATGTGCCTACCTTTGAAACAAAAGACTATTTCCTCAAAAATTATATACTTGGATTGTCCTTTACTTTACTTTGTCTTAGAAAAAAGGGGTTGCTAGCACAAGCTCCTCCACTTGACTTTCCTGTTCACCCACACCAGCTTAGTGATCATGTGCTGATCAAGACCTGGAAAGAAAATAAGCTTGAGCCAGCTTGGGAAGGACCCTTCCTGGTCCTGCTGACCACGGAAACAGGGAAACAGCCTTCCAGACCATGCAGAGAGGGTGGACTCATAACACACGGGTAAAGAAGGTGCCCCCACCAGACCAGAAAGAACAATGGACCATGCTCTCACATCCAGGAGACACCAGAGTAACCTTAAAAAGACTATAGTGAAGTTATTCATTCATCTGTGAGTGGTGTGTTTATTATTAATGTAACTCAGAGTACTTTTCCCTTAACTGTTGAATTCAATGCATGGCAGATTCTTCCTTGTGGAGACCTTACATCCCAACTCCAGTTCTAAGGCTACTCCTTTTGTATGTGTCCCATCTGGGGACCCACAGGAAAGCCTGGTGTCTGTCCAGAGTGGACAGATGTGGGGTAAAACACTGGGTAGAAAGGATATACTTCTCCCTTTCATGACAATCCTCAGGGCTGGACCAGACCCCGAGACACTGGTAAGACTCCAATTTCCACCATCCAAAATAATCGACAGTCTTTTAATAGACTATAGTCAAAATTACAGCTGTTTTAGACACACCCCTCTCCTACTTGTAAAGATAAACAATGTAACCCACTTAGATTAGTTTTAGAAAGCCCTTGGAGTATGACACGAGAACCATGCATATTTCGTAGATATGGGTTGGGGGAAGATGTATCAGGGACAGACCCCTTAGGTGCCTTTGAGCTCTGTCTAGCTTCCAACCGCTCCCAGATGACACCCAGTTCTACCTCCACTCCAACGTTACCTCCATGTTTGTGCAACAATTGAACTCAGGTAACTGTAGTAGAAGTCAAGGACCTAAGATAAACTGTGGCTATTGAAATCGGGTACAGGGATACAAATGCCTGGATGGAATGGATAAAATATACTGTCCACACATTAAATAAGAACAATTGCTGTGTTTGTGCTACTGGGAGACCAGAGTCTCAGGTGGTCCCGTTTCCATTAGGATGGTCCTCAGACCCAGATGGAACGTATTGCATTTGACTCTGTTTCAGGATGCCAAGGCTTGGGGTAATGAATCCTGCCAGATGCTATCACTACTGTTCCCAGAGCTCAGACGTCCTGCTGGTCAGCCTCTGAGGACTATTAGGCCACCTGCCCTAGACATCAATTATACCTCATGTCTCATCAGAGGGGGGAATGATTGACAGATGTGGGAAACCTGACGGGATGCAGTGAAAGCTGGTCCTTCAACAGCCTCACAAACCAGTCCACACTCTTGGCAGAGCCGATGTCTGGTGATACTGCAGAGGACCTTTCCTTGAGACTTTCCTAGGTAACTGGAAAGGCACCTGTGCTTTGGTGCAGTTTCAATCCCTTTCATCCTAGCATTTAGATCCCCATCCCGGACCACATTTAGAAAAAGGACATAGACATAGATACTGCAGCCAACCACAGAGGCTCTTTGATCCCCATATTTACATTGATGCCATTGGGGCTCCTAGGGGAGTGCCAGATGAATACAAAGCCAGGAACCAAATTGCAGCAGGGTTTGAATCAGTACTCTTTTAGTGGTCCACTATAAATAAAAATGTCGACTGAGTTAATTATATTTATTATAACCAGGAAAGGTTTGTTAACTATACCAGGGATGCCATCAAAGGAATAGCAGAGCAATTGGGACCAACTAGCCAGATGGCTTGGGAGAACAGGCTAGCATTAGACATGATGTTGGCTGAAAAGGGAGGAGTTGCGTCATGATTGGAGTTTCATGTTGCACATATATACCAAATAATACAGCCCCCAAAGGAACTAGTACTAAGGCCTTACAGGGATTAACTACCCTATCTAACAAGCTAGCTGAAAACTCAGGTATAAATGATCCCTTCACTGACTTAATGGAAAAATGGTTTGGGAGATGGGAGGGCTGGATGACTTCAATCTTAACCTCCTTGATCGTAGAGGCTGGAGTTTTAATTTTAGTGGATGCTGCATAATTCCTTGTGTCCAAGGACTAATGCAACAGTTAATTGAGACAGCCCTCACCAATTACCCCCACCCTACCAAAGTAACTTGCTTCTATTAGAAATGCAGCAACATGAGCACCAACAGCTCCTAAATGAGTTTGAAGAAAATTTAAACTAAAAGAAGGGGGAAATTGTAAGAAAAATGATCTTTTCTATCAAAGTATTTGTTACCTTCTTAGATTACTTAAAAATTCCTCAGGTCGCCATCTTAGGTGACTTGCATGTTTCAAGGGTCCTTGCTTCTTCTTCTGGATTCCTATACGACTCCATTCCCAACCATACTGTAGGCCCTAACCCATCCCCCAAGTCTTTTAGCCAATTGAGGGACATTGTGAACCTTTGACCTGGACAAATCAATGGGTTTGTGGCATGTACAACTGCGTCAGGGATATAAGGAGGCGCCATTTTGTGTCAGCTGGAGTAAGTACATGCTTGCACCCTTTTGATCAAAAGAATCAGCATCAGCCATCCCATGTTCACGACATGGGCATCTTTAGGTAGCAAGCATTCCAGTGATCTTTAAGTATTTGGCCCATGTCCACACTGTGCAGCAGTTCAGTTTGGATCTCAGGAAAAAGAGACAAGCAAAAGAGTAGAGCAGAGCTAGAGAGAGACCAACTGAAATCAAAGGAGGATAAAGCCATCTGCTCCCAAGTAGGGTTCTCCTCCATGCTGCTGGCTGACTCACCAAGAGGTTACTGGATCCATGCCGCCTCATGGCCAGAGGTCCTTGGTCTTGTCAGAGAAAGAATTCAAGAACGGACACAAAGGAGATTTAGCAGGAGCAGGTTTATTAATGCAAAGTGAAGTGAAAGTACACTCTGGAGGAATGGGAAGGCTCAAGGATGAGTGACTGCCCTGAGGATCCCAAGACCTCAAGCTTTTACTTGGATCTGTGGGCATAAGAGTGGTCATTTCTGAAAAAAAAAAACAAAACAAAAAAACCCAACCATAACACAATAACTCAAGTATTCAATAAGTATGTTTGGAGTGTTTACTATGTGCCTGGCACTGTGTTAGATGCTAGGAAATACAAAACAAGTGAATTCTTCCACTCAACATATTTTGTCCTTGTCCTTTTTTTGTTTGTTTTGTTTTGTTTCTTTGAGCCAGAGTCTCATTGCCTTCATAGTCCTTCTGCGTCAGCTTCTCAAGTGCTGGGATTACAGACATGTACCACCATGCCTGTCTATTTTGTCCTCTTTTTATTTTTCAGGCACTATATTAGGTTCTGGAAAGCATTTTGCCTTCATGGAATTAACAGTCGATTTGGGGCAGGCAGTATTGACCAATGACTCACACAATTAGCATCCAACAATATATAAAAGATATGTTAAATTCCTTAAGGGCTGTGGTCATTCTTTTTGTTTTGGAAGATAAACAAACTTGAGACCTGCATCAGTCTCCCAAGATATGAAATTACAGGTGTGCACAACATTGCTCAGCTTCTTTCCAAGGCTTTAAGGAAGAGTAGTTTCTGGGTCTGCTTCTAGCTTCTTTTTGATATTGCAACTGTTGCTAATGGGGGGAAAATGTAAGAAGCAGAAAGACACAATTGAATCAAGTAAGAGGTAAGATTGCTGGTGCGCCAATGAAGGTTTTAGAAAAGAAGAGATAAGAGGAGAGACAAGAGAAGGAAGAAGTTGACTATTGTGGAGATGTTTTTAATATTGAGGAAGAGGGATGATGAAGTCAATTCTGTTCATGAAATATTTTAACCATTCCTCCTTCCAAAGGCTTAGTAGGTGTCATAGGTCGGATAATTTAGTCTCATTTTCCACTCCTTCCCCCACCATCCACGAACCCCTCCCCCCCACCCTTTGCCTTTGGCGGTATTGGGGTTTGAACTCAGAGTCTTGTGCTTGCTAGGCAGGTGCTCTACCACTTGAGCCACGCCTCCAGTCTTCCCTTCTGTTCTGAAGGTACTTTTCTCTTTGCTTTCTATTAGTTGTCTTTATAAATCCCTTAATCTCTAAACTCAATTTGTAACAGAATGCAGGGACCACAGGACAAAATCACTTTTGTAGCCTCTGTTGGAGCATAAATACCCCACTAGGCTTTCAGAGGCAAAATGCCGACTCTCTGTCTGCAGAAAACTACGATTCCCAAAAGGCTTTGGGGCGCCGGGGGAGTGGGAGGGGGATGAGGGGAGAGCAAGCGGCTCTGGAAAAGGGGCGGAGTCTAAAGAAGGTCGTTGGTTGATTCCATTGTAGGGCGCGGAGGGGTAGTTTGGGAGGAGCTTGGAAGGGATCCGCTTTCTGATTGGTTGTAATTAGAAAGGGGCGGTCCCACGCGTGGTTGGTACGGTCCGCAGGCTCCAGGAACGCTGCGACTGGCGCTCGAATTTCCCGGGTCTAGAGCGCCGGGCCTGTTGGGAAGTCGCCGGGACGGTTACCTACCGGGCCTTTGGAGGTCGCGAGTGTGTTCCGACATGCAGAGCACAGATCTGGGCAACAAGGAAAGCGGCAAGATATGGCATCGCAAGCCATCCCCGGCCACTCGGGACGGGTAAAGGCCGCGGCGGGAGCGCGCGGGCTGTGGTGGCGGGCCAGGGGCGGGTCGGCGTCCATGGAGGGGCGTCGGAGTGTCTGGACGGGGGCCCGGTGGGATTCGCGTGCTGGCTGTGACCCTGCCGGACATCGCTGAGTTGTGCGACTTAAGGGGGAGCTGGTAGCTCGGACACCACGGTTCGCAGGTTCTGGGGGCGGCTCTGGTCCGGGGCAGTGGACCAGACGTGGAGCCGGAGGTTCTCTGGTTTATGTGAGCGGCTTCGCGTTGGTGGTGAGTGCAAGGACTCTGCTTGCATTGACGGTCACAGAGTCCGGGTACTACCCCGGCTCAGTACATACTCCGGTGTCGCAGCTGGAAGAGAACTCGGGGAGGGGAGGGGAGGGGATGCGGAGGCGTGAGCAGTACACTTTCCACCCTGTCCCCAAATCCAAGTTTACCCTGTCCCAAAGTCGAAGTTTATCTGTCTTAAATACGAGTGTATTAAGACGCACCTGCACCCATCAAGTGTTTGTTGAGCGCCTACTACGTGCCACGTGTCCATGTGAGAACTGGGGGACAACAGCAAGGGGACCAAACTAGCTTCCGACGTTTTGCACACTGGCCTGTGATGGTAGCAGGGAGGAACGGCTGCTGCGGCCCGCGCAGCTTTTCGTCGTGTTCGGGTTGTCTGCCCTGTTTGGGGGTCAGCATCGTCTGTGTGACCTCAGGGGAGCCCACGCCCCACAGTGGTGCCATTCCTGGTGCTGCATGTCAGTGATCTTAGTGCTTCGGATTCCCGGGGTGTCTCGGGCTTCGATTCATCCTTCGGGTTCATATTTCTGGTGATTTTTTTTTTTGGTCTTTTTTTCATTTTTCTTAACCTTTTTTTTTGGCGACATGTGTTTGAACTCAGGATCTGACGCTTGCTAGGCAGGTGCTCTTACCGCTTGAGCCACTCCGCCAGCCCTCTTGTTGGTGTTTGGCTGCTCCTCGAGGAATCAGTTCACTGCTTTGGATGTTAGAACTTGCTCCAGCCACTTACTTGGCTTCTGATTCCTGTCCATTCTTTTTATCAACTCCTTTGAGTACAAAATTTTGTCTAAAGTGGCCATTCTTCAGGGTTTTCATTCCCAAATATGCTGTTTGTATAAATAGCACCCTACTTGCCCAACGCTGTTGGCTCACGCCTGTAATCCTAGCTACTCAGGAGGCAAAGATCAGGAGGATCGCAGTTCGAAGCCAGCCCAGGGTAAATAGTTCGAAAGACCCTATCTCGGCAATTATCTTCATAACAAAAAGGTCTATTGGAGTAGCTCAAGGTGTAAGCCTTGCATTCAAACCCCAGTATCAATCAATCAATAAATAAATAGCACCCTACCTCTCTAAACCTTCTAATTCTCTTACTGTTAAAAAGTATCGAGCTATGCACACAAGATTGCATTCCTGTTCACACTAAAACAATAGCTGTTTGTTCCTTAAGACTAATGATAAGGTGTTGTGAGAGATCAGAGCTTCCCACTGTGAAGTCAGGATTTAGTTGAAGGAAGTAACTTTGGGCCTGTTTTGGGTTTTTTTTGGTTTTTGGTTTTTGGTTTTTTTTTTTTTTTTTGGTGGTACTGGGACTTGAATTACACCTTGAACCACTCCACCAGCCCTTTTTGTGTTTGGTATTTTCCAGATGGGGTCTTGTGAACTTATTTGCTCAGGCTAGTTTTGAACCTCTATCCTCCTGATCTCTGCCTCCTCAGTAGCTAGAATTACAGGCATGAGCCACCAGCACCCTCCAACTTTTGAAACTGGGACAATCATACTAGGCATATTTGATGCTCAGTGTATACTTGGTGGTGCTATTATGGTAAAGATCTGATAGTTGTCAGGCAAAGTACCAGCAATTGAAAAGAAGTTACTCTTTAAAAAAAAAATACTTCTATGTGATTTATATAAAAATCAGGAACAGAAAGCTGCCAATTGTGGTTTCTTCTAGATCGTGGGATACAATCTGTTTATTTCCTAGTGATTAATTTTTTAATTAAAACATGTTCTAGGGAAAAAAAAAAAACCACTGGAGCGAAAAGTCATTTGCTTTTGGCCAGGAAATATTTCAATGTTATTTCAGATCATTAATTTTTTTGTATTTTAATTCCTAGAAAACTACATAAAAATAGGCAGTGTAAGAATTTTCTCTTGAAGGTGTTAAGACAAAATGAAGAAAAGAATGTTTTTGTATTGCTGACAACTCAACCTCAGGGCCTTGTGCATACTAGACAAGTGTGTTTATCATTGCACTATATCCACAGCCATTAAAGGAAGTGTTTAATTCACGTAATGAAATTTTAATGAGAAAGATTGATGTTTCTATTAGTAAAATTTAAAATTTCACAAAACTATTAAATTTTCATGATTCAAAACTTTTTTTTTTTCCTTTGGGTTTTTTTTTTATTGGAACTGGAGTTTTGAGCTGAAGGCTTCACACTTGCAAAGTAGGAGCTCTGCTACTTGAGCCACACTTCCAGTCAATCCTTTTTTGTTGATGGTACTGGGGTTTGAACTCAGGGCATACACCTTGAGCCACTCCACCAGCCCTCTTTGTGATGGGTTTTTTCAAGATAGGGTCTTCTTCTCACCTAAAAAACTAGCTAGCATTTGTTGCCCTTAATGCAGAGAAACTAAAGCAGATACCTTAAAGCAACTGAGTCCAATAGGAAAAGGGGACCAGGAACTAGAGAAAAGGTTAGATCAAAAAGAATTAACCTAGAAGGTAACACCCACGCACAGGAAATCAATGTGAGTCAATGCCCTGTATAGCTATCCTTATCTCAACCAGCAAAACCCCTTGTTCCTTCCTATTATTGCTTATACACTCTCTTCAACAAAATTAGAGATAAGGGCAAAATAGTTTCTGCGGGGTATTGAGGGGGGGAGCGGGAGGGGGTGGAGTGGGTAGTAAGGGAGGGGGTGGGGGCAGGGGGGAGAAATGAACCAAGCCTTGTATGCACATATGAATAATAAAAGAAAAAAGAAAAAAAAAAAAAAGATAGGGTCTTCTGAACTGTTTGTTCAGGCTAGCTTTCAACCATGATCCTCCTGATCTCTGTCTGCTGAGTAGCCAGGCTTACAGGTATGAGTTACTGGCGTCTGGTCTCCAGTCCATTTTTTGCTATTTTGGAGATGGGGTCTTGTGAACTATTAGCCAAGGCTGGCCTCAGACTGCATTCCTCCAATTCTCAGCCTCTAGACATGAGCCACCAGCACCCAGCTAAATACTGTTGTTGTGATAAAGTATTGGAATTGTTCTAGTCTCTGGAACCAAAATATGCTCATTTTGTGCTGCAAGTTTCATAAGTATTTTTAAGCAGATATTTGACACAATCCTCAAAAAAAAAAACAGTAACAAGACAAATACAGCTATATATTACTAATAAAGGTTGTCCATAAAGTAGTATGTGATCAGTAACAAATATGTATAAAAATACAGGAAAGTAGAAAGAAGGAGGAAAAATCACCCATACTCCTATTATCTGAAAATGACCGCTACTATTTGGATGTGTTCATTTTTCATTATGTATACGTTTTTCTTTTTCTTCCATTGTTTTTCCTTGAAATTGTGTGTGTGTTTGTGTATATATATTTGTATATATGTATCAGCTGTTTAAAACCTGAGGTTGGAATGTTTTCATTCTTAGGGAGCTTTTAAAGCATTCCATATGTTTCTATGGGATAATAATTGAAAAATAAACTTCCTTAACCTTTTGAATAGCATTTGTTCATTCAGCAAACACAGTTTGAGTGCCTGGTATGTATTGTAGGTCAAGTGTACCAGGTGCTGTGATACAGTAACAAGCAAGCACCGGTCCCCTGTACCAGGAGTACACCTGCCAGGGTATTATGGCAGACCTACTGGAAATGAAAATAACATTCATGTATACTTCAGTTTGGGGTATTTTATGTCACAGAAACAAAATCTTACACTCATTGTTTATCACCTAATCACAATTCATTAATATTGTTTACATTTCCAGTTTTTTTTTTTTAATGTCTGTCTTTACTAAAATATAACCTTCATGAAGGCAGGAATCATGTCTATCAGTTATTCTGAGCTCCTGGTTTGTTCACTGTCTGACACATAGTAAGTTTTCAAGTATTTGATGAATAAGTGAACAGTGGCTACTTTTATAAGTAATAACTTTCTGAACTGTTTTCAGAAGTCCTTGTAAGATTGATTCTATGGGCGAGAAGGAATAGCCACAAGAGAAGAGGGAAAGATTGGCAGGCAGAAAGCCTTCAAAATTGGAAAAGTATCCTATAAAAGCTGTATTTTCCATATAGAAAATAAAACTTGATGGGAAATTTAATGTTTAGTTGCTTTGTTTTGTTTTGTTTTTTACTTTGACAGAATTATAGTGAACATCATTCACAATACTTCTGATTACTATCCAAAAGTTTTGCGATTTTTGAATGTGGCTTTTGATGGCTCAGGTGATTGCTTAATTGCTGGGGACCATCAAGGAAATATCTACGTTTTTGACTTGTATGGAAACAGGTAAGCAGATGTTTTTGGTACTTACCTTATTTAACAAGTTATTAATTCACTGACTGATTTAGTACTTGCTATTCATTTTTCATTCCAAAAGCTTTAAGTTCTATATTTCAGGTACCTTGAAAAACAATGTCTTAAGTACTGAAGGAAGAAAGCAGGAAAGTAGTGATCCCAATTCTCCAATTCTTGACTTCTTAACCTGCCCTGCCATTTCCCAGCTTTAAATTAATACAGCTGTCTCTCTTTTGTCTCTATTGTTGAACAAAGCTGGTTGTTGATTGATTCCATTACAGAATAATAAACGTCACCTTAGGGGATTTTTAACACTTCGTTTACTTAGCTACTGTTACTTACTTTTCCCATTTCCCATTGAGTATTGCAAAGCTTTTATCAATTTTTTTGCCTCTGTGTGTTGGACACCGAACTTATTCTGACTGCCTCTTAATTCATGATAAAACAGATGCCTCAAGCTTCCCTTCTTTCTCCCCCATTGTGGCCTCAAATCTGCTGTGAGTTCAGCTTTTCACATCTTTTTTATCACCTCATTCATAAATAGGTGATCTTAATTTATGTTAATCCCTATCTTCTATAACCTCTCCTAGGACTTTGGATCATGGTGGAGTGCAGGGGAGTTCCTTCCTTATCTTAACCATTCTTCCTTTTCACTATCCAAAAAAATAAATTTTCCTCTACCCTTAAGTTTTTACCTGGGGCTCCTGAAGCAAAATACAGATATAGTAAGGGAAAACAAACAAGTTACAAACATGTATCACAGTATATCACATGGTGGGAGTACTCAGAAGTGACTGGTTTAGATTTGGTTTATACAACATCTTGCAACAAAGAACAACACATTTTTAGAGAAGTGACAGTACACAGGAAAAAGATCTTGCTTTTCTAGGGGCAGTGAATTGTGGGAAGGCAAATATATGGGAAAACTAATGGTAGATAAAGGCTAAGTAAGTTTTTCATATAGGTTCCTCTGGTACCATCTCCAGGATGATGAGGGTCTAAAGTCTTTTTTTTTTTTGAGGAAAAGGAAATAAGTTTAATTATTCATCAGATGAAGAGGAGGACAGAGAGTCAGCCTCTCAAAGCGCTGTCATCCCACTTCTGAGAGAAAATGTCCAGTTTTTAAAGGGGAGTTCAAGGGCTTAGTTTGAGTACATGATAAAATGCATGTCCCAGAATACATGCTGGCTTTGGTTCTCCAAAGAACCTCTGTCTTTCCTAATAGAGGATTCCCTTGGTAACTATGCAAATTTATTCAGACTTTTAGGTAAATGGGATGCGGGGCAAAGAACTTTTCTTGTATTTACTTTTAGATTGTTTTCAGTGCAAAATAATGCTTATGCAAAAGTATTACATTTTGGGGTGGCATATTCCGTCACTCTTCAGTATGAATTCATAGCTGAGCCGAGCTGAGCAGTAAGTGGCAGAGCTGAAACTTAAATCAGACATGATGATAAAGCCTATTCCCCTGGGCTCCCTCAAATTACTAACTACTGTCTTCCCCCTCCCTGATTTTTTTTTTTTTTTCCTTTCGCTTCATGGCACAACTCTGCTAATTTTTCTCCCTTCCTCATTATTTTGTCCCTCATTTTGCTGACTTCTATATGTCCTTCTATATCTCAGGTGCTCTCTTTGATAATCTCATCAACACCAAGACTTGCTAAAGCGCCATTTTGACTCAGATCTATCTACTAGAATTTCTCTGTGTTGAGCTGCTTTCTTTTTCTTTTTGGTGGGATTGGGTTTGAACTCAGTGCTTTGCACTTGTGAAGCAGGCTCTCTACTACTTGAGCCACACCTCCAGTCCTGGTTATTTACTAACCTCCTGATCTGGAGGAGGTGGGTCCACAAACTGTTTGCCCAAGCTGTCCTTGAACCAGGATCCTCCTGATCTTAGTCACTCAAGTAGCTAATATTACAGGTGTGAGCCACTACACCCAGCTGTGTTGAGCTTTCTGATAACCACTAGCTACTTGTGGCTCTTGAGCCCTTGAAAGGAGGCTAGTCCAAACTGAGCTGTTGTAAATATCTAAAATACACCTTGGATTTTGAAGGCTTAGTATGAAAAAAATGTAAAATTTGATTAAATATTGAAATGATAACTTAGATAACATACCAAGTTAATAAGATTTGTTATTAAGATGAATTTTATCTGTTTATTTTCACTTTTTAAATGCAGCTTCTAAAATATTTTAAATGATACATGTGGCCCATGTTACATTTCTTTTGGACATCATGGGTCTAAATGTGTTACAAGGGCCTTAAACTTAAACATGTTTAAAATGGGGCATAGTGTATTTCCTACCCTCAAGCTTGTTCTTTTGCCTAAGTTGAAAAGCCTAGGGTTTTTTTTTTTTTTTTTTGTAAATTAAACTCTAGATATGTGCCAAAGTGCTCTACATATATTATTTAATCACAACAACCTCATAAGATTCCTGTTCTTCATTTTACACGTGAGAAATTCCTGATTGGTCCCTCTTTACCCTTATTTAAATTAAAGTCCTTCACCTCTTAACTTTTGAAACCTCTCCTGTTTGTTCTTTCTATTACGTGCTTATATCTCTGGTTGAGATTCTGTTAACTTTCTTAGTAACCTCCTTCCTTACCCTTCCATTTGCCTTTGCTGCCAGAATCTTCCTAAAAAACATGCCTGGTCATGATTCTTCTAAGCTGAAAGTTTACAGTGGTGTTCTATTTTGTAGAAGTAAAGTCTTGTCGCTTTACTGTGGTTCAGAGGATCTTTTATAATCTGTCTTTGTCTTATCAAAATGGTAGCTCATTTTTCTGATCAATTCAAGTTTATGATCATTGGCACAATTTCTGATACTGATGTAGTCATTTCTCAATAGGTTTAATCTTGTTCAGCGAACAGCACAAGCTTGCACAGCTCTAGCCTTTAATCTTCGAAGGAAGTCTGAATTCCTTGTGGCATTGGCAGATTATTCCATTAAATGTTTTGATACAGGTAAGAAATCCTCCTATTTGTCTTTTGAATTTTTTTCTTTCTTTCTTTTTTTGTCAGTACTGGGGTTCAACCTCAGGGCCTTGTCTACCACTTGAGCCAAGCCTTCAGCCCTCCTTTTGTCTTTTGAAGATAAAATATAGACTAAGTACTACAAGGAGTTTACAGATCTGTACAGTTTGAGGCATCAGTCCCTATAAGACTGCCTTTATTTCAGCTGTAGCTACAAGGTTGGTGGTCCAAGGACCATCCTCACTTCAGATTGGCCAGCTACCAGGTTAGGATTCCCAGCTACCTTCAGGTTCAGTAATTCACTAGAAAACTCACAATTCAGGAAAGTATTATATGTATGATTACAGATTAATATAGAAGAAGGATATAAATTAGAGTCAGCCAAAGGAAGAAATGCATAGGGTGGAATCTGGAAAGCTTCTAAAAAAAAGGTTTCCTTTGTCCTCGGGGACCCTCTCAGCATTGACATTCTCATCAAATACTGCAGACTTAGATCACTCAGTCTTTGGTGTCAAGAGTTTTTATTGAAGCTCCATGACATAAACGATTGGATTGAATATTACCCATGTGGTTGAATTCAGTTTACAGCTCTTCTTTCCTCCTCAGAGGTTAGGCTGGTAAACCTAATAGCATTGTTGGTCTTTCTGGAAAGGCCAGGCCCCACCGAGTCTTCTTAACGTAAACCATCTCTGTGTGCCTAAGGACCCACAGTGAAGATAAAGGTGCTCCTGTCACATGAGGAATTCCAGAGATTTAGAGATTACCTCCCAGGAGCCAAATTCCTTACTATGTGGTATACTTTTTTGTTTCTTTGTTTGTTGAGATAGGGTCTTATAACCCAGGCTGACCTGGAACTTGTGATGTAGCCTAGGCTAGCTTCAAACTCTCAATTCTCCTGCTTCCACCTCTCTGAGATTACAGCGCTGGAATTACAGCTGTGTCCCACTATGCTTGGCTCAGATACACTTTTTTTTGTGTGTGTACAGTATTGGGGTTTGAACTCAGGGCCTCATGCTTGCTAGGCCATCACTCTTTAGCCATGCCCTGAGCCCATATAGTTGATTTTAATCATAATAACCCACTGAGATGGATATTCTTATCACCATTTTACAGATGAGGAAACTGAGGCACTGAGGTAACTTGACCAACATCCCAAAGACTGTAAGCAGTGGAACCAGAATTCCAGACTTGAATCCCTGCTAGTAATCACTGTCCTGCATTCTATAGACATAAAGAAGGACAAGTAGTCATTTGGTATACCCAGAGACATAGTCAAGTGTTTTTATGACAGGGCTCTCTCATATCTTAACAAATATGTAACTAACCCTATCTATGTTATTCCATTGAATCATTTTACACCATTAAAAAATTCATAGGGGGCTGGATGCATGGCTCAAGTGGTAGAGTACCTGCCCAGCAAGCATGAGATCCTGAGTTCAAACTCCAGTACTGCCCCCTCCCCCCCATTATATAACCTATTTTAGATTAATACCTGATATCCCACTAAATAGATGTTGACTGTTACCATAGTTATTTGTCCTACTACTTATTTTTGGACTTCTAAACTATTTCCAGTTTCTGGTATTACAACATTGCTGTGACAAAAATTCTAAAAAAACTAAGTCTTTATATTCATGTATGGGTATTTTCCTTAGATTCCACAGTTCTCCTCTATTCCTAGTTCCATATCTCACTGAACTGCTGCCCCCTAGAAAGCTGCTGCTTTGGATGCTGTCTTCACCACCTAACTCCCCAACTACTTCCTTTTTTCCTTCTCTTCTCTGACAAATCCTGCTTCCTCACAGTACCCATTGATGAGTTCTGACTCTTGTGCTCCCCGCACTGCTGAGACTTCTGACATTGGAAAGCAATATAATTTCATTCATAAAACAAAAAACATATATTTTTTCAACATAATACTAAATTTAAAAGCTCAATGAAAAATAATTAGGAACTAATCTGGTAGATCTAAGTCTACAGACTTTTGACTGGTGTTTGGAAACCACCACTATTTCCCTAAAAAATTTGTTCTTCTGTCTTCAGTTTTGACCTGCTTTATATCTTAGTGCTTCCCAGATTTATACCTTGCTTGCTGACTTCTCAGTTCCATCTTTTTGGGGGAAAAATTCTAATCAAAAAAGTAAAATATACTGTAGGAAACTTGGAAACATACAGAAGAGTGTGAGGATAAAATAAAAACCATCTTTAATTTTATTCCCCATTGATAGTTACCATGAGTAGTTTTGGTGTTTTCTCTGTCAGTGTTTTCTCTACTCTCTCTGTGTTTTCTCTACCTCAGTGTTTTATTTTTTAGATAATCTCATTATATGGCCCGGGCTGGCCTCCAAGTCATGATACTCCTGCCTCAGTCTCCCAGGTACTGGATTATAGCTCAAAAGAGTTGAATCAGTTCATGCTTAGTGTTTATGTACAGTGTTAGATAGAGATGATTAGTGCTTTACTTGTACAACCATTTTACTTTTACCACAGTCACCAAGGAGCTAGTTAGCTGGATGAGAGGACATGAATCATCAGTATTTTCAATTTCTGTGCATGCATCTGGGAGATATGCCATCACTACTTCTTCTGATACAGCACAACTATGGGACTTGGATACCTTTCAGAGGAAAAGAAAGCTGAATATTCGCCAGTCTGTGGGCATACAGAAGGTCAGTGTTGGGGGAGGTACCTTGGCTTGTTGTATGTCTTGGTCTAGTTTCTTTTCTTTTCTTTTGGCAGCACTGGGGTTTGAATTCAGAGCCTCCCCCTTGCTAGGCTGGCGCTCTTACCACTTGAGCCTTTCCGCCAGCTCTTTGGTCTAGTTTCGTGGTCAGCAGAATTTAGAGATAATAGAATAGTAATGATTCATTTTGTGTCACATAGCTATGGTCTTTTAACTTAGGAACAGACAAAGCAATGTGACTGACATGATTATGTTGTCTGTGACAATAGTTTATAATGAACTCAGCATTTTTTTTTCTTTCTTAATTATTTTAGCTATTTCAACTCTCAGAAGGTGATAGTTTTTGTGATTTTGTCTTAATTTTTACTCCAACCCCATTTTCAAACATACAGCCTATGTGTAATTTCACAATGAACACATATATATATATACACCCACCATGTAGAGCCTACCATTATAATATATTATTATACCTATCTTTACTGTAAATAAATTTAAAAATTTATTTGTTTTTCTGCCCCACTGTTCATTAATTTGTGTGTTTTAAAGTAAAATGGCAGACATGGGCATACTTCCCCTTAAATACTTAAGCCTGCACTTAATTGACTATGGTAATTATTTGTTGATATAAGATTTATGTATAAAATGCATAAGTCTTAAATATTTATTTAAGTTTCACAAAGGCCTACTCTTCTATAACTGGGGCTGACCTATCATTACCTTAACCTCAGAAATTTCCATCACATCCCCTTCTTGGGTAAGTACTAGTCTGATATTTTCCCACAATAGTTTGGTTTTGCCAATTCTAAAATTTCTTATAATTTGAATTATTTAACAATAGTGTATGTAAGGCTTTTTTGATATTTGACTATGTCGTATATAACAAGTTTATTCCTTTTTATTGCTGATTAGTATTTCATTGTTTAAATAGACCACCTTTTAAACAAATCCATTTCTTTTGCTTTTAGGATTTAACTTTGTCTTTAATTACCTAAACACTATTTTCAGAAGCTACCTGAGTCTCCAGTGTGATTAATTACTTTGTGATATATGTGCAATATTGCTTTCAACTTCTTGGTTATTAACATGAGCAGCTAGTAATGCATGTCAAGTGAAAACTTATTTTGTAGTCTCCCTACAAATCTCAGAGTTCTTTAATGTGCCTTTACTAATTAAAAAGAAGATAAAAGTTGAGTTAGCTTATTCATTAGGGATTTAGGCCAAATGTCTTAGTAGGTCTTTTCTTCTTTAATTACTTTAGCAGTTAAATTTTAAATTCCAAAGAAGAGAGCATTGGGAGTTGAACCCACAATGGAAACCGTGTTATGTACACAAAACCCATCTGTTCTTTTTACCATGAAATTAAAATTGTATACACTGGGTAGTAGCAAATGTTTACCTTGCTTGGAAATTTAGACGTTTTAATTTTTAAAAATGCATGACTCCAAATATTAGGAGTATGAGAATAAAGTTAAGTATAGAAAATGTATGTGTAGTGTAATGTGATATATGCATATATACCGTATATATATTTTTGCATCACTGAGGCTTGAACTCAGGTCCTCATTCTTGCTAGGCAGGCGCTCTACCACTTGAGCCACTCCAGTAGCTCTTTTTTGTGTTGGGTATTTTGAAAGTAGGGTCTTGAGAACTATTTGCCTGGGCTGGCCTCTAGCTGCAGTCTTCCTGATCTCTGCCTCCTGAGAATGTGTTGTTTCAAAATAATAGAACACCATAGTCTATAAATTGCCAGCAAAGTTTTTCTTGAAGGAGGAAATAATATTTTTGGCTTTACAGGCCAAGAACAAGATTACATAACCATTTAAAATGTAACCATTTAAAAATGTAAACATTCTTTGTTCCTTGGCTATGCAAAATTTGTGGGGTGGTTGGGAGTGGGGAGGTCCTATGGCTACCAATTCTGGCTTACAATGTTGAAAATGAGAAATAAATGTAACCCAATCTTAAAGTAAAATTCTGGTGGTTTTCTTTTTTTCTTTTTGGTAGTACTGGGACTTAAACTTAGGGCCTCATGGCTGCTAGGCTTACTAAGCAGATGCTCTACCACTTGAACCACTCCACCAGCCCTAAAACTTTTAATTCTTATCAAATTTTTACTAAAACTTTTTTTTTTTTCTTTTGTAGTTCTGGGGATTGTACCCAGGGTGTTGTTCATGCTAGGCAAGCACTGTAGCCCTTGAGCCATACTCCCAGCCTTTGTTTTTTGTTTTTTGGGTGTTTGTCCTATGGTAGGGTTTCACTAATTTTGGGCTGGAGGTATGGCTCAAGCATTAGAGTGTCTGCCTAGCAAGAATCAGTGAAGCACTGAGCCCAAACACTGGAACCACCAAAAAAAGAAAAGAGTCTCAAACTCGTGATCCTTCTGCCTCCACTTCCTGAGTAGTTGGGTGTACGAGTGTGTATCACTACACTGGACTTAAAACTATTTTTAAGGTTCTGATTCTGTAGTTTAAATAGAACCTCTGCTTATCTGTTTATTTGGATGAGACATGAGAACCTTGAAGAGACTTTTTTTGGGTCTTTTTCTGTGAAACTTAAAGATGGCACTTATAATCTAAAACAGTGTCCTACTTTTTTCCTGGAAGAGCAGGCCAGTTGTCCTGGAAAATGCCACCTTCTAGATTGGTGTTACTATTTCATTATTGTTGTTTAACTTGGATAATCTATGCAAAGAATTTAGCTCAGTTCTGGTTATAGTAAGTACTTAGTAAAATTGTAGTTGCTGTTATTTCTGTTGTTATTATTGAGCTCTAGTATGAGAGTGTAATGAGACATGATTTTTAAAAGCAACAGATGGTAATGGTATATTCTTCTTTTGAAAAAACTGAATCATATAATTATACAATCCTTTACTAACAATTCAAAATCCCAGAAGTCTCTAAATAACTCAGTTAGTTGCCAGATATGATCTTACCTTAGATCTGGCAAAATAATCTTAATTGAATTGATATGAGGCTAAAATATTAACATATTTGCATATGAGTTGTTGCCCTGGCTCATATAATATTATGGACTATGTCATGTTATAATATCTTTCTAAAATTGGAAATAACTGAATTCTGAAACATATCTGGTCCTAAGAGTTTCAGATAAGGGATTATGGATCTTTGATTTCAAATATTTTTAAAGAAACTACCACTCTTATCTTCTTTCCACTGATTTTTGTATATAGTAATAGTAGTAATGCCTCATGATCCTCTACCCCAGCCTTCCAAGTGCTGGAATTATTGACATTCACCACTTGTCCTGCTGCAGCTAGGACTTTATGTAGTTCTTTTTAAACTTAAGTAATCCTAAAATGTATATACTGTGATTTTCCCCTTTTTACAAGGAAGAAAACTGAAGTTCATAAACATTAAGTATCTTATCCAATGTCACATAGTTTTAAAATAGTTGCAGTTTGCATCCAACCTTACTGAAAAACAGTTCCATTACATCATACTGTTTTCTCAGGTAAACTAGCTATACCTCTTCAAATTAGTAAATTTTGATTATTGATGCTTAGTGGTAAGATACTCACTTCTTCAGTTAGTGATTTTGGAATAAATCCTGAGATTTGTGATTATGGTATATGGTTCAATATGTATGGGAAAAGGCTTTGTGATGGATATTAGAAAATATTTCATAAAGAATGTTGCAATTTCTGTAGAGTGGGCACTAGCTAAATTATACATTTGGCCTTAACTTGCTAATACTACTATCTTGAACTATTTAAACTTTGATAAGAGCTCACATACCTCTCAAAACAGAACTAGAAAGTGTTGACTTGAATATGGTTTGAGGTTGTCTCCCAAACGTGCATGTGCCGGAAGCTTGGTCCTCGGTGTGACAGTGTTGGGAGGTAGCAGAACCTTTAAGAGGTGGGGCCTAGTAGAAGGTCATTGAGGATTGAAATTGTTCTCTGGGAGCCTGTGTGAAGGGAGGAAAGATTAAAAAAAAAAAAAAGAGTGAAGGAGCCTTGTCCCTGAATCCCTCTGCTTTCATGTCTCACCATATATCCTTCCTGTTCCCATACACTCCCTCCATGATGCCATGGAGTAATATAGCCAGGAGGCTTTCACCACAGCCTAGCAGAAGCAGACACTGCTCTTTGACCTCTAGCACTATGCGCTAAATAAATCTTTTCATTATAAATTATAAATTACCTACCGTCATATTTTGTTAGGGCAACAGAAAATGAACTAATACAGAAAGTTTAGGATTTTCACATTTTACTAGGAAAAAATGTGGCCCCATCCTTGAACTCAATCCCTAAAAGTAAATTTTATTAATGTTTTTGAAGGTTTTCCTAAGTATTTTATGTTGTCAAGAGGTGACACTATCTAAATAATAATGACATGTTTCATTAGGAACAATTTTATAATCATTAAAATCTGGCAATTAAAATCACAAATCTAGTAATGAATAATCATGCAGGCAACAATCTATCACAGCTAGTCCCCTAAAATAGCAGTGATGCTCATTAACTTTTAAGCTTTTGCTTCTCCCAGTAGGACTAAACTTTATTTTTCAGGAAAAAAAATGACTGCTAATTATAATAAGAATTTTCTTAAGTCACTTTTTGGCATCAGTTTTTAAAGTGTCTTAATGTGCTCATTATATATTATAATGTATTCATGCAAATTCTTTCTGTAAGATTTTTATATTACAAATCTTCCTAACATAGTGAATGTGTTTGCAAAAGGTCTACCAGAGATTCTTTGGTAAAGTGAACTAAACAGAAGTGAGGAGCTGAATTTTATCAGCTGTTAGTATCTTACTTAATTTATTCACCTTTTCTTTTTTGTTTTACTGGCATTAATCCTGAGTAAGTGATTTTAATTAACCAATTATGTTCCATGGTTCCTTATATATATATATATATATGTATGTTTTTTGCAGTTGTATTCACAGAATTATATTTGAAGCTTTTATAAGAAAATGTTGGTCAATTTCAGTTTTTTTCTTTTTTTTTTTTGGTAGTACTAAGGTTTAAACTCAGGGCTTTGCACTTTTGAGGCAGGCATTCTACCACTTGAGTCATACTGCCAGCCCCAATTTCAGTTTTTTGTTTTTTGGTTTTTTTTGGCGGTGGGAGGCTACTAGAGATTGAACCTAGGGTCTCACACATACTAGACAGGTACTCTGCTACTGGGCCACATCCCCAAACCTTAATGAAAATTTCGTAGTATAGAAAGAAAACATTGTTTAGTGCTTATGTAATAATAGAAAAGTGGAAAATAGAACAAAAAGATATTTCAACTCTGCTGTCAGTGCATTTCAACTCTCAGTTGTCCTTTAAATAAACTGAATCTATAATAAAATATGACCATATATAAATGTTCAACTTTGTTTTTTTGATGGCACTGTGGTTTGAACTCAGGGCCGGCCTCATACCTGCTAGGCAGGTGCTCTTACCACTTGATCATCTCAGCCAGCCCTTGTTTTGTGATGGGTATTTTCAAGATAGGGTCTCACAACTATTTGCATGGGGCTAGCTTGGAACCACAATCCTCCTGATCTCTGCCTCCTGAGTAGTTTATGATTACAGGCATGAGACACTGGCACCTGGCTAACAGGGTCTTGCTATGTACCCAGGAGAGTCTGGAACTCACTATCTATCACAGGCTAGCCTCAAACTCCTCATCTCCTGCCTTATCCTCCCAAATGCTGGGATTACAGATATGTACCACTAGGTCCAGATGCCTGTTCAACTTTTTACTCGTATAAATAATGCTTACAGTTATCTTAAAACACTTTGCCAGTTATTCCCAAAGGACTAACTCTTGGAAGTAAATTTACCAGTTCAGCAGAAGTAAAATTTAAGGCTGTTGAGAAATGTTATATAAGATCTTTAGCCAATTTTTATTCCCAGTAGCAGAGTATGACTGTGTTCTTTCCCTATATTATCACCAACATTTAGTGTTTTTTAACATCAGTAGTTATTATTTACTAGTGTCTATATTATAAAGTCACGTATCACTGAATGACAAGGATATATTCTAAGAAATGCATTTTTAGGTGATTACACTGTTGTGAACATCATACTAACACAAACAGCGATACGGGTTACTCAACAGGGTGTCTTGATGCAGTCAAGAACTAGGTGAACAGGATATGTTCGAGCCTGCTGCCAATGTAGAACAGCATACTTTGTAAAAATAAAGTAGGAGGAATACAGTCTAAAGTAATAATAAAAAATACAGTAAATGTATAAGCCAGAAATAGGCATTTATTATTATTAGGTATTAGGTTCTGTCCATAATTGTATGTGCTTACTTATACAACTGACTGTGTAGTAGGTTTGTGTACACCAGTGTCACCACAAACACTTGAGTAATGAGTTGTGCTACAACTGCTGTCATGTCGCCAATGATACTAATTTTCAGCTCCATAAATCTATGAGACAAGTCTTATGAAACATCATTATGTAGCAGATTATGTGTTAGTATATGTATGTATGTTCATTAGATTTTAAACATTTTTTCTCAAAATGGTGTCTTATTTTCACTTGAATTTTTAATTTAAGATGAAAAATTTTTAATTATTACTTAGAATTTTGTGAATTCCCTAGTCATTATAGTCAACTGTTTTTTATTTGGAGGGATTTATCATTTTCTGTTCATTATAGTTTGTGAAATGCCAATATATTACAAATGTATTTTTCCCTTGTACAAGAAAAGATAATTTTAAAAATTGAAAAATTGATACTTGTATAATTTAAGGTCTGACTCTGATGTGTTTCTATCCTCTTTAGGTTTTCTTTCTACCTTTAAGTAATACCATCCTCAGCTGTTTTAAAGATAATTCCATCTTTGCCTGGGAATGTGATACTCTTTTTTGTAAATACCAATTGCCAGCTCCACCTGAAAGCTCTAGTATATTATACAAAGTGTTTGCTGTGACCAGGTAATGTGCATTTCAAGGACACTGAGATTTTCAAAAACTTTAATTTCTAGTGAAAAATTACAAATTTTTATTCAGTATCTTGTTATATATGTAAAAGCTTCCGTTGATTTTAGATGTGGGCTGTATAGCTAAATTTTTATTGCTGTTGTTTTATTTTTAATTTTTCTTCATTGTGCAAAATTTCAAATATACATAAAAATAGAAAAGTACATGAAGCCATAAGTACTTATCAGCTACAATAATCATCAACTAACAGCTGCACTTATTTTTATCTGTGACTCTTTGTATCTCTCTACCGTATTGTTTTGGAGCAAAGTTTAAGCATGTTGTTTCATCCATAAATTTCAATTCATATCTAAAAGATAAGGGCCCTTTTTAGAATATAACCATAATCACTTATTTTAAAAATTAACAAGAATTTCTTTTAGTAAGTCATTGTAAAAATTTCCCTGATTGCCTAATAAAACAATTTTTATGAATGATTTTTTAAAATCAGGAACAAAACAATGTTTACCTATTATATTTCCCTTGATATCGCCCTCTTTTAATTTTCTTCTTGTTAAAGAACTGATCATTTCTCCAATAGAATTTTCTATATTCTGGATTTTTCTCTTTGTGTCCATGTAGTATTCTCTTTATGTAATCCTCTGTCGTCTGTGTTTTCTAAAAGTACACTGGTTAACTTTTAATTTCCTAAAAACTGGATCTAGGTAAAGAATAAGAAAATATAAGTGACTTGTATACTTTGATCAGGAACAATCTAGGAAACTTTCTTTTGTGATTTTTTTTTTTTTTTTTTTTTTTTTTTGGCGGGATGGGGGGACAGTACTGGGGTTTGAACTCAGGGATTCATGCTTGCTACGTGAATGCTCTACCGCTTGAACCACACCTCCAGCCCTTTATGGTTCTGGTTATTGTGGGAGTGGGGTCTTGCTTTTTGCCCAGGCTTGCTCAGACTATGCTCATCCTATTGTGTGCTTCCTCCTGCAGCTGGGGTTAACAGGTGTACATCACTATGCCCAGCTTTTTTTTTTGTTGAGATGGAATCTTATAAATTTGATTCATTGATTAATTGATTGGCTCAGGCTGGCCTGACCCCAATCCTTCTGATCTCAGCCTTTCAAGTAGCTAGCATTATAGGCCTGAGACACTGGTGTCCGGATTCTCTTGTGACTTTAATGGCCATTGATGATTATTGCCTAGATTCACTATTGCATAAGAGGTTAGCCCAGTGGTGCTATTCTAATTCATTCATTTCTTCTTCACTTATTAACTAATTCTATTTCTGTCATTCCTTCTTTGCTTATATGACTAATTTTAATTCTGTCATTCCTTTACTTATTAACTAGTTACAGTTCTCTCATTCCTTCATCACTTATAAATTAGAAACGTTGCATAGAAACAAACTTTTCTGTCATAGGCTCTTTGTTTACTTTGGCACACAGTTTGTAAAGGAAAAGCAAGATAAATTCTTGATTTTCCCCTTTTTCTTAAACCAGTTTTCAAAGTAATGAATTGTTTTATTAGCATTTTTCAAAGGTGGCCATTGAAATTTTTTTCTTTAATCTTTGTAAACTCATGGATTTAGCATAGTTATAAAGTATTAATCTATTGCAATTAGTTGTCTTAGTGATATTCCAGTTAGAGAATATCTTTGACCTATGTGATCCTCTTCAAGTTTGCTTTGAATTTTTTTGATATTGCCTCAGTTGCTTGTGATAGCTTTTATGCATTCTGGTATTGCTAGATATTCCAAGTTTATCTTGTACAGTTCCTGCGCCAAGCCTGGAATCAGCTATTTCTCTAAAGAATATGGGTCAATGTAGTGGGAAATGATATTTTGAGACACTAATCTGGATGCTAGGGATACTTGCTGCTACTGGGTTGATCATTGTTTCTAAGCCTTTTTAGTGGAAAGATCTTGGAAATATAGTTGTTAATTCTTTTCTTTCTCACCCTTTTCCTCTAACTGATCTGTAGAGCCCATCAATTCTACCAAACCAAATATTAAATTGTTCAATTTTTTTGTCCATTGGCAAAGATTTTACCCTAAACCAAGCAACCCTAGTCTGTTTCAGGTGTTATGATAGTTTCCTTATTTGGCCTTCCTGTTTTTGTTCCTATTTCCTAACCTCAGCCTCTGCATAGCAGATAAAATGGCCTTTGCAAATCATTAAATTGAATCATGTCACTTTCCTATTTAACTCCCTTCAAAAGCTTTCCACCCACACATAGAGTGAAATCCACACTTCCCACCTTATCCCCTGTGGCCTCTGTCGTCATCTGGCCTAAGCCTCCTCTCTTCATCTCTCTTCCTATCTCTCTCTTAATCTGCTTGAGCAGAGTGTGGCTTGAGTATGGCTTCTTACTTTTACTTATATACATACCTTTCCCTTTCTCAACAGTTTTACTAACCACTGTAGAATTCTTCCTCCAAATCATCCTGATTGGCTCGTTCATGTCATCCAGGTAGCTGATTTTCTTCCCTTGCCAGCTCTCCTCACCTTTTCTGGTTATGTGTAGAATTTCTCACCACCTGGGATATAGTTCATTTGTTTGTTTGCCTTCCTCTAAACTGAAAATCCTGTAAGAACAGGATTACCCGACTCATTCATTCTTATTTAACTTGTTAACTACTCTGTCCCTGGCAAAACCTTATGGAATTAACAAGCAACAACCTTGCAAGTCAGTACAACTTATTCTTCTTTGTGTGTGTGTGGCGGAGGGGGTGGTATGTGGTGCTGAAGATTGAACAAAGGGCCTTGGGCATGCTTGGCAAACGCTATATCACTGATCTACATTCTCAGCCCTTAACTTATTATTTTTGTACCTTATAAAAGTAAAGTAGCTTTCTTTGAGCAGGAAGAAAGTTTGACTTTTTTGGTTTTTCATGTAACAATGCACTGCTAGTTCTGTGTGGTTGTATGTGAAATATGGAAAGCTGGATAGTGGTAAATGACTCTGAGATTACTTTATAAAATGTATATGTTACTCAGAAAGCCCCAAATCAGTCATCCATCAAGTATTTGTTAAGCTCAGACCTTAAGGCAGTAGGTAAAAATTATGTACACTATAAGCCTGATATGGCCACATGAGACTATTTAAATTAGTTTTCTCAGTAGTTCTAGCCACACTTTAATTGCTCAATAATCACGTGTGGCTAGTGGAAGGTGTGTTGGACAGCATAGATAAAGATTATTTTTACCACCACAGTTCTGTGGAACAGTGCTGCTGTAAACAATTCAATTTGTCTTGCTTTCTCACCTTTTTGTGATACAGAGATGGACGAATCCTAGCTGCTGGAGGCAAATCAAATCATCTGCATTTGTGGTGCTTGGAAGCAAAACAGCTCTTCAGAATTATCCAGATGCCTACTAAAGTACGAGCTATTCGCCATCTGGAATTTCTCCCTGATAGTTTTGATGCTGGTTCTAATCAGGTTAGTAACAGTAGTGTAGGACATTGTACTTTTTGAGAAAGATCACATTGACTTCAGAACTATATGAGCTCTCACCTTTAACTTATACCATGACTGACAAGAATCTGAAATAGCAGGCTTACTACTTTTGTGAAAAGTCTAGAATTGAGGGTGCGGATGTAGCTCAGGGGTAAAGCGCTTGGCTAGCATGAGCAGGGCTGGGTTCAATCCCCACCATCACAAAAAAAAGAGTCTAAAATTGAAAAACATTTAAAAATCTTATGTTCTTTGTATTATTGACAAATAATTACTTTCTTATTTAAATTGATTGCCATGGATCTCATACTATAATAAACTAAATACATTTTTCATGTATTAAATATACATACACTATGTGTGCATATGTGTACATCTATTTTACTTTAAGTTTTGTGAGTAGTTATACATTCACCTGGTTAAAAAAATAAAACTTAAAAAGGAGCAGGCAGTGCTAAGTCTCATCCATCTCTGGTTATTGACCCCCTCTTCTATAACCACTGTTTTTTTTTATGGTTATTATTTTACCATATATTTTATACATATATATTTATAAACATGTAATATGTTTTTCTCTCTTTTCATACAGCTTTAACCTTTTCTGTTGACTTAATTTGGAGATTATTCTATGTTAGTATAAAGTTTCTTTCTTACAGCAGCATAGAGTTTTTGTTTTTTTTTTTTAAACTGGCTCTTTGTTATTAGGTTCTTAATCCTATTTTGAGTCCTTTTTTTATTGTAATTAATATGCTGTGCTGAATAGCTTTTTCTTTTCTTCTTCTTCTTTTGGTAGTGCTGGGATTTTAAATCAGGGCCTCACGCTTGCTGGGCAGGTGCTGTACCACCTGAGCTATTCCACCAGCCCGGTGTTTTGCAAATACCATTTTCATATCCTATTAGTAGGATAAACCCAAGAGTTGAAATAGTAGCATTAAGGTAATTTGGCTAGGATCTTGCCAGAAGGGTTGCATCCACTGTAAATGAGGGATTTGTTCCCTACAAGCCAACCAACAGGAGAGCTGTTTACATTGTCACCTCCAAACTGCCTTTTGTATAACAAGCACTTCTTATGGCCGCTGGCACTGGGAAGCAGAAGTTTATTTGCTTAAACTTTTTTATTATACATTTTTAAATTTTGAAATTATATGAGCTAAAATTTAAATTATTTTCCCTTAAAAGATTAGCTTCCCACCTACTCTACTAACCCTTGCAACCCACAATCTCTCTCCACTCCCCAAATGTCAGTTACGGTAGCTGAAGACAAGCCGAGAATGGGAAGCCCCACCAGGAGTCTGGTTTGAGTATGCAGCAGGGAGAAAGATGACAAACTCTCCAACCTCCTTGCTTCTGGCAGCCAGTATGGAGGTAAAGATTAGGGACTGTTCAGTCATATCTATCCCCTGCATATGTCATCAGTGGACATAGCCTGCCTGGGGAATGGAAGAGTTTTAGATCACCTTTTCTTGGTTCTCCAGGATGCATTTCTTACTGTTTGTGGTTAGAGCCCCACTCACCTGGGCCAGATCAGCATGAGTCATAATCAGTGAGTTTTAGATAGGTAATGGCTCGCTGACAGTAGCATCTCCTCCAGCTGCCCTCAAAAAATTTACATACATGTATACGTATGTATGTATATGTTATACAAGTGTATATACTTGTACATATATGACAAATTGCATATATTTATACACAAGCAGTAAATATGTGTGTAGTTTGACTTTTAAACATTCAACTTTGAAATGTTTTAAGAACTCATTGTTTCTTTCTTAGGTTCTTGGAGTGCTAAGTCAAGATGGTATTATGAGATTTGTCAATATACAGACCTGTAAACTTCTCTTTGAAATTGGGAGCCTTGATGAAGGAATTAGCTCATCAGTAATTAGCCCACATGGACGGTACATTGCGTCTATTATGGAAAATGGAAGTCTAAACATATATTCAGTTCAAGCTTTAACACAAGAAATAAATAAGGTATGTTAACAACAAAACATCAGTGTTTTTAGGAAACATTTAACCTGTAATAATATTGTAATTTCACACTTGAATACAAATTTTATTACATAAAGGCATTTTAAAAATCCTACATGGACTGGGGAAGGCATGACTCAAGTGATAGAACACTTGTCTAACATGTATGAGGCCCTGAGTTCAAGCCCCAGTACCACTAAAAAATGAAAAAACCCACAGACATCTCAAAGTAGGATTCCTGAAACCTGCCAGATATACAAGAAGTAAACAGATTTACTACTGTAGACAGCAAATATCAAAATGGTTGATAACCTGAAAGTTAAGTATTTAGTACCATTTGAGCAACACTGCTTAAATTAAACTTTCAATTTTGAATGAGCATATGAACATATATACATTTCTTTATGATGCAACTGGTATATATTTATATATATATATTATGCAGCTGGTATGCACACATAGATAGATAGAAAGATAGATAGATAGATACATAGACAGATAGATAGGTTAGGCCTGTTGTTGCTCCAGACAGGCTTGAGCCTAGAAATGAGAATGGTTAAAATTAGGGGTTGGTAAAGTAGGGCTCATGGGTCAAACATGGCTCATCATTTATAATTCTGGTCAATAAAGTTTGATTGGAACACAGCCACACTTACTTGTTTATGTATCATTTATGTCTTCTTTCATGCTACAAAGGAAGAGTTGAGGAATTCCCACCGAGACTGTAAAGTCTATAAAGAGGAAGAGTATTTAACATCTTACTCTTTACATAAGACATTAGTTAAATGGTGGATTAGATTCAAGATGAGGAATTGTAAGAGGATTCGTAAGAGATTAAGTCCACTGGGCTAAGGAGAAATAATGTCATTTGCATTCTGATTGAGACCACTAGGTTATACTAAATGGACTTCTTAATCTCAGGCAACCATATCAATTTTTAAAAGGCATTTTGACATTGTATCATCAAGAATAAAATCTTTATTCTACTATTTTCTGACTTCCTTGGAACTTGCCTATTTTTGTTGATATATTTTGTTGCTCTTACTCCAAAGGCCACATCTCCAACCATGATTTCTTACCTGTGTTCCTTTATTAAATTGCCATATCATTGAAGGACATCTCTGAGATGCCCTCCTTATGAAATCAGTTTCATAAGGAAATTGATTTTATTTCTTTTTGGGGGGAACTCCTCAGTATGGAATTAATAGTTTAAAGCCTCCCCTCCTTTGGTCAGTAGATTGGGAATAGGGATAGACCTTGCAGATTTAATTTGTAGAAATTAAATTCATGGGGAAAATGTCCTTATTTTAATATTGCTTTAAAGCTGAGGGAGGGAAACTATTTATACTCTTAAACCTAAGATTTATATACCATTCAAGATGTCACTCATGATATCTTTTCCAGTTTCTTCATTCCTTTCTCACTTATTCTTACCATCTTGTAGGTTAGAAACCTTGGCGTTCTTGCACTATTACTATTCCTTCATTTCCTGTATCTAGTCAATACTAAGTCATACAGTTTCTTAAATTTGAAATATCTATAGATGTCCTGTCTGCTCTATTTTGGTCCTCATTAATGATTCCTAAATAACAGTAATTTAAATAGATGTTCCAAACTCAGAGCCCTCACTGCCCACTCCTGGCAATCAATCCATCTTCTACATAATATTTTTCTAAAATAATGCTTTCATTATCGTTTCTTAAATAATGCTACTTAGTGGCTTCCTTCCTTTTGCCTAATTTCACCAAGTCCAGACTCACTCAGTGCCCTTGTCCCCAGATGAAGTTGAATAAGGCAGTACTTTGTTCTTAAATAACTATCTTTTCATGGTCTTTTTTGTGCCATGCTTTTTGTGCTTTGAGGCTTTGTGTGTGTGTGTGTGTGTGATTTCACTGTTTGAACCAACCCCCAAGCTGAGTGCTAAAGTGTTATCTGGTGTTTCTAAACAAGAAGGCCATGTTGTACCTTACCAAGAAAATACATGTTAGATAAACTTACTTAGGCATGAGTTATACAACTGTTGACTGTGAGTTTGAAGATAATAAATCAACACTATGTGTTAAGTGAGGTGTCTTTAAACAGAAACATGAAGCAAGGTTATGTATTGATTAGTTAGTTGAAAAAAAATGTTGTGACCAGAGGCTACCAGTAACCTAACTGTATTTGCTCTCAAATCAGGATTCTGTATTCACTAGTTCAGTGTGCAATGTTTAAGGTCATTCTATAAAACTACAGCAAATAACAAGAATCAACTAACTATATATATATATATATATATTTATATACATATTTGTGCATGTGTGGGTATTTTCTCTAATATAGGATTATACTCTGCCATTCTTGCTTATATGATTCTATATTTATATGTGGTATATAATTATATATATTGTTTTTATGTGTTATATTTAGCACTATTATTTTCTTAAAGTCATTAATATATCATCTGTTCTTACTGAGAGTGTTTTAGACTTGTCAGTCAATTTTATGGTGTTAGTTAGACCTTTTTTAAAAGATTCAGGGAGAGGGCTGCAGACATGAGTCAAATGGTAGAGCATCTGCCTAGCAAGTGCAAGGCCCTGAGTTCAAATCCTAGTTATCACCAGGTTTTAAAAAAAAAAAAAAAGAAGAGCCAGGGAGAAATCTGAAAAAAACTGGTGAGTTCCTCTGTTGAGCAAATTGAGATCACACTAAACAGAAAAGCTAGCTTAGATGTGAAATAATCTGTGTTTGTGTGTGTTTGTGTGCTACTGGAGGTTATACTTGAGCCACCCTGCCATCCCTTTTTTGAGTTGTAATTTGGAGATAGGGTCTTGCTTTCTGCTTGGGCCAGCCTGCACTGCAGTCCTCCTATCTGTGCTTCCTTGTGTAGCTGAAATGACAGGTGCATGCTACCATGCCCAGACATTGGTTGGGATGGGATCTTGCAAACTTTTTGCCCAGGCTGACCTCAAATTTCGATCCTCCCACTCTCTACCTCCCAAGTAGCTAGAAATAATCTTTTTAAAATTTTAAGGCACACCATCCAATGTCTTTATGGCTGTTCCAGTGTCATAACTGTCAGTTACTTACCCTCTATAAATCTTAACATACCCGTGTACTATTTCTTCCAAGTTTTCCTTTGCATTAGAGATTTCTGATAATTGTGCTAATAAAGTAAATGAGTTCTTTTTTTTTTTAATTTTTCTAGTACTGGGGTTTGAACTCAATTGCTTGTGCACTTTCTAGGCAGGCACTCTACCACTTGAGCTACACCTCCAGCCCAAAGTAAATGAATTCTTTTGTGTTGAAAAGTATGTCAATAGGTCATCCAAACAAAAAATCAATAAAGATATCCAAGATCTAAAATATACAGTAGATCAAATGGACCTACTTGATGTCTACAGAACATTTCATCCAACTTCTACACAATATACATTCTTCTCAGCAGCCCATGGAACCTTCTCCAAAACAGATCATATCCTAGGGCACAAAGCAAGCTTCAGCAAATATAAGAAAATAGAAATTATACCGTACATACTATCTGATCACAATGCAGTAAAAGTAGAACTCAACAACAAAAGTAAAGACAAAAAACATGCAAACAGCTGGAAACTAAATAACTCATTACTTAATGAAGAATGGATCATCGATGAAATAAAAGAGGAAATTAAAAAGTTCCTGGAAGTCAATGAAAATGAAAACACAACCTGCCGGAACCTATGGGACACAGCTAAGGCAGTCTTGAGAGGAAAGTTTATAGCCATGAGTGCATATATTAAAAAGACTGAAAGATCCCAAATCAATGAGCTACTGATACATCTCAGACTCCTAGAAAAACAAGAACAAGCAAATCCCAAAACAAATAGGAGAGAAATAATAAAAATAAGAGCTGAAATCAATGAAATAGAAACCAAAAAAACCATACAAAGAATTAATGAAACAAAAAGTTGGTTCTTTGAAAAAATAAACAAGATCAATAGACCCCTGGCAAACCTGACTAAAATGAGGAGAGAAAAAACCCAAATTAGTAGAATCAGGAATGCAAAAGGGGAGATAACAACAAACACCATGGAAGTCCAGGAAATCATCAGAGACTACTTTGAGAACCTATATTCAAATAAATTTGAAAATCTTAAAGAAATGGACAGATTTCTAGATACATATGATCATCCAAAACTGAACCAAGAGGAAATTAATCACCTGAATAGACTTTATGACACAAAATGAAATTGAAGCAGCAATCAAGAGTCTCCCCAAAAAGAAAAGTCCAGGACCTGATGGATTCTCTGCTGAATTCTATCAGACCTTTAAAGAAGAACTGATACCAACCCTCCTTAAACTGTTCCACGAAATAGAAAGGGAAGGAAAACTGCCAAACACATTTTATGAAGCCAGTATTACACTTATCCCAAAACCAGGCAAAGACACCTCCAAAAAGGAGAACTATAGGCCAATCTCCTTAATGAACATTGATGCAAAAATCCTCAACAAAATAATGGCAAACCGAATTCAACAACACATCAAAAAGATTATTCACCACGACCAAGTAGGCTTCATCCCAGGGATGCAGGGGTGGTTCAACATACGAAAATCAATAAACGTAATAAACCACATTAACAGAAGCAAAGACAAAAACCACTTGATCATCTCAATAGATGCAGAAAAAGCCTTTGATAAGATCCAACACCATTTCATGATAAAAGCTCTAAGAAAACTAGGAATAGAAGGAAAGTACCTCAACATTATAAAAGCTATATATGACAAACCTACAGCCAGCATTATACTTAACGGAGAAAAACTGAAACCATTCCCTCTAAAATCAGGAACCAGACAAGGATGCCCACTATCTCCACTCCTATTCAACATAGTACTGGAATTCCTAGCCAGAGCAATTAGGCAAGAAGAAGGAATAAAAGGAATACAAATAGGTAAAGAAACTGTCAAAATATCCCTATTTGCAGACGACATGATCCTATACCTTAAAGACCCAAAAAACTCTACTCAGAAGCTTCTAGACATCATCAATAGCTATAGCAAGGTAGCAGGATATAAAATCAACATAGAAAAATCATTAGCATTTCTATACACTAACAATGAGCAAACTGAAAAAGAATGTATGAAAACAATTCCATTTACAATAGCCTCAAAAAAAATCAAATACCTAGGTGTAAACCTAACAAAAGATGTGAAAGACCTCTACAAGGAAAACTATACACTTCTGAAGAAAGAGATTGAGGAAGACTATAGAAAGTGGAGAGATCTCCCATGCTCATGGATTGGTAGAATCAACATAGTAAAAATGTCATACTCCCAAAAGTAATCTACATGTTTAATGCAATTCCCATCAAAATTCCAATGACATTCATTAAAGAGATTGAAAAATCTACTGTGAAATTTATATGGAAACACAAGAGGCCACGAATAGCCAAGGCAATACTCAGTCAAAAGAACAATGCAGGAGGTATCACAATACCTGACTTCAAACTATATTACAAAGCAATAACAATAAAAACAGCATGGTACTGGCACAAAAACATACATGAAGACCAGTGGAACAGAATAGAGGACCCAGATATGAACCCACACAACTATAAGCAACTTATCTTTGACAAAGGCACTAAAAATATACGATGGAGAAATAGCAGCCTCTTCAACAAAAACTGGTTAGCAGTCTGCGAAAAACTGAAACTAGATCCATGTATATCACCCTATACTAATATTAACTCAAAATGGATCAAGGATCTTAATATCAGACCACAAACTAAAGTCGATACAGGAAAGAGTAGGAAATACTCTTGAGTTAGTAGGTATAGGTAAGAACTTTCTCAATGAAACCCCAGCAGCATAGCAATTAAGAGATAGCATAGATAAATGGGATCTCATAAAACTGAAAAGCTTCTGTTCATCAAAAGAAATGGTCTCTAAACTGAAGAGAACACCCACAGAGTGGGAGAAAATATTTGCCAGGTACACATCAGACAAAGGACTATAACCAGAATATATAGGGAACTTAAACAACTAAATTCTCCCAAAACTAATGAACCAATAAAGAAATGGGCAAGTGAACTAAACAGAACTTTCTCAAAAGAAGAAATTCAAATGGCCAAAAACACATGAAAAAATGCTCACCATCTCTAGCAATAAAGGAAATGCAAATTAAAACCACACTAAGATTCCACCTCACCCCTGTTAGAATAGCCATCATTAGCAACACCACCAACAACAGGTGTTGGCGAGGATGGGGGAAAAAGGAACCCTCTTACACTGTTGGTGGGAATGTAAACTAGTACAACCACTCTGGAAAAAAATTTGGAGGCTACTTAAAAAGCTAAACATTGATCTACCATTTGATCCAGCAATACCACTCTTGGGGATATACCCAAAAGACTGTGATACAGGTTACTCCAGAGGCAACTGCACACCCATGTTTATTGCGGCACTATTCACAATAGCCAAGTTATGGAAACAGCCAAGATGCCCCACACTGACGAATGGATTAAGAAAATGTGGTATCTATACACAATGGAATTTTATGCAGCCATGAAGAAGAACGAAATGTTATCATTCGCTGGTAAATGGATGGAATTGGAGAACATCATTCTGAGTGAGGTTAGCCTGGCCCAAAAGACCAAAAATCGTATGTTCTCCCTCATATGTGGACATTAGATCAAGGGCAAACACAACAAGGGGATTGGACTTTGAGCACATGATAAAAGCGAGAGCACACAAGGGAGGGGTGAGGATAGGTAAGACACCTAAAAAATTAGCTGGCATTTGTTGCCCTTAACGCAGAGAAACTAAAGCAGATACCTTAAAAGCAACTGGGGCCAATAGGAAAAGGGGACCAGGAACTAGAGAAAAGGTTAGATCAAAAAGAATTAACCTAGAAGGTAACACACAGGCACAGGAAATTAATGTGAGTCAACTCCCTGTATAGCTATCCTTATCTCAACCAGCAAAACCCTTGTTCCTTCCTATTTTTGCTTATACTCTCTCTTCAACAAAATTAGAGATAAGGGCAAAATAGTTTCTGCTGGGTATTGAGGGGGTGGGGGGGAGAGGGAGGGGGCGGAGTGGGTGGTAAGGGAGGGGGTGGGAGCAGAGGGGAGAAATGACCCAAGCCTTGTATGCACATATGAATAATAAAACAAACAAAAAAAAGAGAAAGCAAAAAGAAAAAAAAGTATGTCAAATCAGGTTACATCTCAGGCTGTATCTTCTGGGAGCTTATACTTTAGGTTGAGGATAAGACTCAAGCAGGGAAAATACAGAATAGAAATTTTAGTAAAAATTTAGAGAAATGGATTAAAGTAGGTAAGACAATTCAGAAATTTTAAAGATTAGCAGTATTTAAGGTCGTCCACTTTTAATTCCATCCCATAGATAAAGAATTTAGTCATAAAATAGAAGTGGTCAGTGCTTTAATTGTATTTAGAACTCTGCCTGGGTGGCATTATCTATTTATCTCCTTTGAATAAGGAAGATGTTTTGATTTCAAAAGAATGTTGTTTAACGAGAAAATATTCTAGTGAGTCATTTTAGCTTGAGTAAATTGAGGTTGCTTGGTTTTCTTGTTTGACAGGCCCCCTAAAACAGAGTTTGGGTTCTAAGTTTTGCTCTCTGAACTATAACTTAAGCAGTTGATGTAGTAAGGAACTACCAGCCGTTGCTGTGCAGTTTATAACCTTTAACCATGTGCAGAGAGGCCAGGGGTCCCATGCTTGCAGAGAAAAGTCATGGGGTATTTCCTCTCTCAGAAGACTTTCCCTTGAGCCTAGCGACTATTGGGGTGCTTCTCTCAACATTCTTGTTCACCATACATCTAACCATGCCTTCTCTGCTGTAGATTGTCACCATACTGCTAACTTTATCATGCAAGTGGAAAAATTGGTTGGCATTGTATGATTTTAGGCCAGCTCTTAAATTCTATTTATTGCTGTTGTTAATTATGTATTTTTTTGTACTTGGCAGAAATTTGCTTTGATTTATAGCCAACCAGAAAACATTCTTAATTTACTTAAACTTTTTTCCTGAAGAATAATATATATATATTAAGGCATGTTATTAAAGCAAATTTTGGAAATCTTATATTTACTGGCGTATTTTCCAAGAATATAGGCTGGAAGTTTTTTTGGTTTTGTTTTGGTTTTTTTCTTCTTTTCTTTTAGCCACCTCCTCCTTTAGTGAAAGTGATTGAAGATTTGCCTAAGAATACACTAACTTCCAGTAATCCTAAGATGAAAATAATGTCACAAAGAGTACAGCGGCCAGCAAGATCTAGAGAGACCAAAATTCAAACTAGAGTATTAAAACAAGACTTGAGTAGTAACTCTGAAAATAAAGAGGTAAGACTAAATTTAATCTTTGTCATGACTGCTATAGACAAGTCTTGTGATTTCTAGGCTGTTGTCACTCTTTCCCCTCACTTGGGACTTGTTATTGTATAAAGAAGAGAAAATTGTAACTGAAATTATAGCATGCTTTTTGAACTTTTAACATGGATATAGTGTATGTTTACTTTTTTTTTAAAATTCAGTGTAGAATTGCACTGTGCAGTATGCTAGCATGTGGTTGAAGAATACTTGAGGTATGGCTAGTCTGATTCAAGATGGGCTGTAAGTGTAAAACACATTTAAAAAATGTGAGAACTTAGGGTGACCAAGATAATGTAAAGTACATTATTAATTACTGATTTTATATTGATTATGTACTGAAAGTATAGATTGACTATATTGGTTAAATAAATTACATTAAATATTGACTAGGTTGGTTAAATAAACTACATTAAACTGAATTTACCTGTTGCTTTTTACTCTTTTAAGTATAGTTCCTAGAAATTTTTTAACTACATTTGTGGCTCATGTGAACTTCTGTTAGTGCTAGTATTGAAAGTTATAAAGGGAAAAAAATAAAAGCATGTTTTTCTTTGGTTCTGCTGCCTATCCTCTGTCATTGTCTCCTTGGAGGCAACTAGGTTACCAGCAGCAAAATTACCTTGAGGGAAGGGATTTCAAAGAGGTTTGTTCTCTTTTTAAATAAATTATTGAATTTTCCTAGTTTTATGCAAGACATATATATTACTTTGGAATACAAAGGGAATATGACTATCAATAGAGAAGGTATTGATAGTATTTTTAAAGAATTATTAAAAGTAATTGAAAATAAAGCCAGGCATGGTGGCCCATGCTTAGCTACTTGGGAGGCAGAGATCAGGAGACCCTGTCTTAGCCAGTGACTTGGTACAGTGGTTTGTGCCTGTCATACCAGCTACCTGGGGAAGCACAAATAGAAGGATCATCATTCAGGCCAGCCCAGGTATCAGGCAAGACCCTGTCTCCAAAATAACACAAAAAGGGCTGGTGGTGTAGATCAAATTATAGAGTGCCTGCCTCACAAATAAAGGGCCCTGAGTTCAAACCCCAGTTCTGCCAAAACCAAAAAGGAAATAAATATACATGCAAAACACGTAGTGTATAACAGATTTTTACAAACTGAACACACTCAGAATATCAGCACCCATATCAAAAAACATGGACCGTTGGAGCTGTGGAGGTAGCTCCGTGGTAGAGTGTACTTAACTGGTATGCACAAGGCCCTGAGTTTGATCCTGAGCACTGCAAAAAAAAAAAAAAATGGAGCTTTGCCAGCATCTTTCTGCTCTCTTCTAGACATTTTCCCTTATCTCAATGATTAACTTCTCTTTTGGGAGAAAGAGCAAGTGCTGGGGAATAAACGCAGAGATTTTTACATGCTAAGTGTTCACTGTACCACTAAACTAAGCCCCAGAAAACTAATCCCTTAACATAGATTTTGTTTAGTAAATACCATCAAATAGTTTTCCTCTGTGGCTGAACCAATTTATATTTCCACCAACAGTTTTGAGAGTTCTGGTTGCTCCATATTCTTACTGGCACTTGGTATTTTTCACAATTTTAATAATTTTTCCTTAAAAACTTTAATGTACAGAAGAGGTATAAGCAGATTATAGCTTAATGGAAAATACAAAAGATCACCCATGTACTCTGTGTTGAGTGGCTCTAGGACTGTCTTCAGGTTTGGTGCTATGTTAAGATTCAGCATACAATCATATTCATAGCTATGACGTGCTAGAGTGAAAGGATATAAAACAAAGGCAGCAAAGGGGAAGGGCACATGCATGGGGTGAGGTCCAAAAGAACCCTGGCACAAGCTTCAAAGAGTCTTTTCCCATGATTTGATTCCTCCAGCAGTGAACTATGACAACATATATTCATCCAGTGTTGTCCACCAAGGAAAGCATTAGAGACGATGCCCAGGGCTTTAACTGGAGGCTGGTTATGTAAGCACCCTGTTTAACATGTTTCAAATTTCACACTCCTAGAGGGAAGGCATAAGCCACATTAGTCAAACAGTTTAGGTTCACTGAGTTACTCTTACTGGGTCTTTGGTGTGATTGCAACCCTGGCAGAATCCAGCTTCTAATCCAGCTTTTAGACACCAGCCTGGGCCTGCCTGCAAGGTAGGCATTCTAACGGTAGTAGGCCCAGACCTGCTATGTTAGCTTTTTTCTGTACATACCCATTTTCTACATTAAGAAATAAAGCATTGGGCTGATGGAGTGGCTCTAGTGGTAGAGTGCCTGTCTAGTAAGAGTGAGTCCCTGAGTTCAAACCCCAGTACCACCAAGAGAAAATAAAGTATTGCCAGTGTTTTGGAGCCCTGGTGCTTATCCCCAATCAGGTTTTTTTCTCTACGCCATAGCTGTAACTGTTATCCTTCTCTGTGTGTTACTTAAGTCCTTGGTTTTCTTTATTGTTATAACCTCTTCACATAACCCTAACAAAATATTTAGTTTTTAAAAACTGAATAGCAAGCGCAAACCTAAGCTGTGTAGACTAGATAGTACTGCTCCTATTCATTGAATGCTCTAAGAAGATGAGCTGAATGCTATCTGAGACGTGACCTGCCTTTGGCTTTCCTGGGAGTTTCCAGAAACCTTTTCTGGGAACACTAGTCATGGTCATAAATGATCATGTAAAAGGAAGTAAAAGGCTTATCATGGTCAGGGTCTCTGGCAGTTCTCTAGTGTGGATCAAGTCTGGATTTCCTACAGAAAGATGTGAAGAGCGTGACTGCTTCTAAGGAACAGCTCTAAGGAGTAGGTCAGAGTGGAACCCTTCTGTAGGGTGAAATGCTGTAAACTAATCTTGGCTTCAAGACATGGAAAGGAAAGTAGGAACTTCATCAGGTCACAGTCAAGATAAGAAAGGATATAACTCAGGCCAAACTCTTAAAAGGAGGGGTCAGTGGCAGCAGGTGTGTGGGTGGTAGCAATCAGCATGCCTCTTTCCTAGACCACCTTGCTCCAGATGGACTAGTTGCCCCTGCATCTGGCATGATTCTCAGATGGGAATCTTCACTCAGCATCATTGGGCTTTTGGTTCACCCCATCTTACACTGCATTACCTGTTTCTTACAGTATAAAGAGCACTAAACTAAGACAAAGTCTAGTTTTTGAGTTTTCTGCCAAGTTTTTTGTTTAGTTTTTCTAAGACGGTCTCACTGCATAGCCCAGGCTAGCCTGGAACTCCCTGCGTGTCCCAGGTTGGGACACAAACTCAAACTCATGGCCCTCCTGCCTCCGCCTCCTGAGTGTTGGGTACCACACCTGGCATGTGTGTTCTGTTCTAAAGTTGGAAAGCGTCTCCGGCCACACCACCCTGAACGCACCCAATCTCATCTAAAGTTGGAAAGCCACTGTGGAATAGGTTATCATGTTTTCAGTTACATAATTATTACTTATTGATACTTTTTTTTATAGAATGAATTGTCAGATGGATTAAACAAAAAGCGTTTACAAATCTTATTAAAAGGCTATGGTGAATATCCAACAAAATACAGGTAAATCTTAAATTCTTTTATGTTAAATCAATTTTACTTAAAACAAATTTTTAATTTAAAATTCTATTTTAATTTCAGAATGTTCATTTGGCGCTCTTTACTACAACTGCCTGAAAATCATACTGCGTTTAGTAGCCTAATAGATAAGGGCACTCATGCAGCATTTCTCAACCTTCAGAAGAAATACCCCATCAAAAGTAGGAAACTACTTAGAGTATTACAGAGGTATGTTCACTATATTGCAGTATATAAAACCTGTAAGTAATAATTACAGTGTTTTAAAATTCTCTTTATAAAATATTGTCTGGTCAGCTTTGATTATCCTTGAGGTATGTTGGTTTATTTAAAAAATAAAACATACATATAGATTACCTATGAATAATAGTTTGTGTTGTATTTTAAAGAATAGGACTCTTTCAGCTAATGTAAAGGAACAAAGCAGCATAGTAGAAAGAGCTTTGAATTTGAAGGCAAACAACCCAGATTTGAATCATTGTTCTACCATTTGATAACGGATGTTGTCATTTCCTTCAGCCTTAATTTCCTTATTTGAAAATGGGCTGATCATAAGATAATTGAGATAATTAGAAGTCTTTTAGAATGGTTATACTGGTGTCTAAGTCATAATAAGCATTCAATAAATGTTAATAAAAACTAACCCTTTAAAGTATTTTTATTGTTAGATACTTCTAAATGTACATTTAACTTATTTCACAGGTAAAGAAACTGAGGCATAAGACATTAGGTAATATGATCAAGTCACACAAATATAGAGTTGGAATTAAGTCCCAGCTCCAGATCCATCGATCCTCCTGATCTCTGCCTCCCAAGTAGCTAGGATTACAGGTGTGAGCCACTGGCACCTGGCAATAGGCGTTTTGTTGTTGTTGTTTTGTTTTGTTTTTTGGTAGGACTGGGGTTTGAACTCATGGTTTTGAGTTTGCAGAGCAGATGCTGGTGCCACTTGAGCTACACCTCCAGTTCTACCAAGACTTTAAATTAAGTTTAACTTAATACAGTGAATATCCTTCAGCAGTTGCCAGCTTGTGGGCAATCTTGTTGCATTGGTAATACCACTCATTCCACACCACTCACCTTGCTGCATCCCACTCCATGCCCAGCTAAGCATTTACGTGTGTGTGTGTGTGTATACTTATGTAATATGTATACACACGTATATATATGTATATATGTGTGTGTGTGTGTGTGTGTGTGTGTGTACGGTAGGGACTCCTTTTCTCTATCATATGCAAGCATGCTGCCATTATCACACCAAAAAAAGAACTAACAGTTCTTTAATGTACTCAAACTCCAGTCAGCATTCCTATTACACTGGTAGTCTTAGGAAATTTTATGGTAAACTTGTTCAGATCAGGGTTCAAACACATTGCATTTACTTGGTAATGCTCTTAAGTCTCTTTTAACCCACAGATTCCCTCTTTTTTCCCTAACAATTTATTTGTTGAAAAAACCAGGAGTTAATTTATAGAGTTTTCCATATTCTGGATTTTGATGGTTTAGTCTCATGGTATTGTTTGATATGTTTTTCTCTTTCTCCAGAATTGATTGTAAACTGGTAATTAGAGTTGGGATACTGTTATAACTCAAGATTTATATTTTCTTGAGACCTTTTGGTGTTCAGCAAGATCACTTTATAGGTGGTTTTATATACTTCTTTTAGGAGGCTTATGATTACCAGTCGTCTTTTTGTGATGTTACTATCCATTGATGACCATTGCCTAGCTCCATTACTTCCCTGAGATTAGCAAAACATTTGATCATATTGTTCTATCATTCTCCTTTTATGAACTAGAAAATTTCTATAAAGAAAAGCTTCCTGTTATCAATTATTTGGTTACTTTAAGATACATTCTATGTAGAAAAGGCAAGTTAAATGCTTGGTAGCTTTTTTTTTCCCTAGGATATATCCCATAAGGAATATATAATCAAATTATTGTTCTAAAGTTACTTGACATTTTGTCAGTAAGTCCTTATTTTTAAAAAAATTTCAAGTTTATCTTTGGGATAGATTCATAAATTTTCTATTACTGGGTCAAAAGATAAATATGTAATAAAATACCCTTTTGAATTAGAGAAAAGATAAAATTACTTTAAGACCTATCTCTGAAAGAGATGAGAATTTGTTTTTCCTGTTGGTCTTCACATTTAATAAGCTTTCCTGCTGTGCATAGGATGGCAGCACAATTCAGGCATTTGTTAAAATATCATCTTGCCTTGCCTCTTTTTTGGATTCATAGATTTTAGGTTGAAAGCAATAAGTACTTGGGTCTGAAGCTTTATCTACAGCTGGTGCAGTGACTCAGGCCTGGAATCCTAGCTACTTGGGGAGGCAGATGGTGAGGATCAAGGTTCGAGGCCTGGTCAGAAAGTTTGCAAGGTCCTGTCTCAACCAATAAATATAGCTGGGATGTTACATAATATGACCCTATCATCTCAGCTATGAGGGGACCATGAACAGGAAGATCGCCATCCAGGCCAGCCCAATCACATACACAAGGCCCTATTTGAAAAACAACGAAAGCAAAAGGGGAGGGGGCATGGCACAAGTGGTAGAGTATCTGCCTAGCAACTGCAAGACCCTGAGTTTTTAACCCTAGTACTAACATTAAAAAAAGAAAGAAATGCTTGTCTATATCAGATGCAGAAGGAACTAAAAGATAAGAATATATTACTTCCAAAATGAATATTTCATGCATTCTTCTGAAATAATAAATTGCTTGAGTTTAGAGGAAAAGACAGATCATTTTCCTTCTGTTGATCCTGTTATTGTAGGGAATCAAGAGTTGGTTTTGTAAGTAGAAGCAATTCAAGTGAATTTTCAATTGAATTTTCTCAGATAACTCAAACTATCAGAAATAATTTGTTGCTTTTCCACCTAAACTGCGTGTACATGCGGTACTTCTCAAGGTGTATTTCCTATAAGATCTTCCTTATGCCACTTTAGCAACAGGTTCATTGTATTATTTGAGGATTTCATGCAATGTAATAAGTTGTTATACATAGTGTAACTCCATGTCTGCTAATCCATTTATAATTTAAGTGACCATTTTAATTCCGATATTGTTAATGTGTACTTGAAATCACAGTTCTTTAGGGCTTCAGAGCAATTTTTTGCCAGTTTCTATTTTTCTAAATTTTTAAATCTTAATTTAAAAAATTCATTTCTACTAAAATTCAAAATTATAATTTAACAAAGGGAAGGACTTGTTCTAGATTAAAAGAGACAATGAGATTTCAGGGAGGTATCAGCCAATTTCAGAGAGCGAGTCTTGTTTGGATTCTTGTTTTGGTTTTTTTTTTTTTGTGAGACTGGGGTTTGAACTCAGGGCTTCGAGTGTGCAAAGCAGGCAAGCAGGCACTGTACCCCTTGAGCCACACCTCCAGTCCATATTGCTATGGTTAGTTTGGAAATGGGTCTCTCAAACTGTTTGTCCCAGCTGGCCTCAAACTGTGATCCTCCTAATCTCAGCCTCCCAAGTAGAATTATAGCAGTGAGTCACTGGCATCCGACCCTTGTTTGAGTTATGATAGGCAACTGAAAAGGACTTTTTTAGACTAATAGAGAAAGTTGAGTCTTATCTAGTAATTAGGTGATACAACAGAACCATTCTTAGTTTTTGAAATGTAGTGGTATATGACTATATAAGAAAATGCCCATTTTTTAAAGATGCATACATAAAGAGTTAAATGGTGTGATGTCAGCGACTGGAGGAGATGTAGTAAATGAAACAAGTATGATGAGACATGGACTTGTTGGAACTAGATAGTGGTACATGGGGGAAGATTGTGTTTTTTATTTTTGTATATGTTTAGAAATTTCTGTAATAATATTTTTAAATGGCTTCAAATTAATTACTTTAAATTAAAAAAGAATAGTTCTTTGTAAAATAATTCAAACAGTACAATAGATTATAAAGAAGCCAGCACCTCTACCCCTAAGCTGACTTGCCAGAGATATTTGGTGTATTTTCACGTGTGTACGACATAGATAAACACACATTTATAAGCTTTTTTTCTTTTTCTTTCTTTCAGGCAAAAGTTGGAAACTCATTGTTAAATATGTAACTTCTATAAATATCAAAGAAGTACTATCAGAGTAGGAGGAAACTGACTTGTACTTAGGTTGACATCTAGCACTTCTCTGGAATTTCATTTTCTATTCTCAGTAGTGGTACTGATCCCTCCCTCCTGGAGTAGTTCTGACTATCACATAAATAAAGGATGTCTAAAATAAGATTATTAACAATATTAACATTTTCTATAGCTATGACAAACTATCATATACTTAGTGGCTTAAAACAATAAAAATTTATTCTTACAGTTCCGTAGTTAGCGGTCCAACATGGGTGTCACTGAGCTAAAATGAATAGGGCTACATTCCTTTCTAAAGGCTCTGGGAGAAACCATTTCCTTCCCTGCTCCAGCTTCTGGAGGCTTCTCACACCTTTTGACTCATGGTCCTCTTCCTCTGTCTTCAAAGCCAGCAACACTGCCTCTCTCTGACTGTTCTTTTGTAGTCTTATTTCCCTCTGACCACAGCCAGAAAAGGTTCTTTTGCTTTATGTTAGTGGACCTAGATAATCCATATAATTCTCTACCTCAAGATGCTTACCTTAATCAAAGTCCCTTGTAAAATAACATATTCACAGGTTGTGGAAACATAGACATGGAAATCTTTTTTAAATTATTATTTATTATTACATTTATTCTTTGTTTTCTTCTTTTATGGTGGTGGTACTGGAGTTTGAACTCCAGGCCTTGCTCTTGCTAGTCAGGTGCTCTACCACTTGAACCAGTCTATCACCCCTTTTGTGTGTGTGTATTAGGTATTTTTGAGATAAAAGCTGGGCAAAGTAGAAGTCTCTAGATCTGTACTTCCCAAACAGTTAGGATTACAGGCGTGAGCCATTGGTGCCCAGCTTATTTCTTCCTTAATTCACGGAAATTTTTATGTTTGATGCACATGGACATCTTTTGGAGGAAAGTACATTATTCTTGATTTAGCTTGCCATATTAACTGTAAAGTATATTTCTTAGAACACAATTTATATTTAAATAGTAGTATTAAGAAAGAATCAGCCTTATAGATGTTAAAAGCTACTATAAAACTGCAGCAATTGAAGCTAGTGCTAACGTGGGTAGGTGAAAAGTCTAACAATAGAGCCAGCTGTTTTCAAAAATTAAGTCTGTTGGTAAAAATAACATTCAAAGCATGGAGAATAAGCAGAATATTTAGTAAATGGCTTGAATAATTAGATAGCCATCAAGGTAAAGTTATAGCATCTTATACCAGGATAAATTCCATGTGGATTAAAGATTTAAATACTTTTAAAAGGAAACAAGAAACCCATAAAACTATTAGAAAGAAATGTAGAGTTAAAATTCTGAAACTACTTTATGAATAAACTAGAGTTATCCAAATAAGTACATATAAAGAGAACCAAGTTTCATATTCTCAGAGGAAAAAATTAAAGATAAGCAAAAGCTGGAATGAATCTCGTGGTAGTAGATTGGAATTAGTAGTGTTGTTTTTTAATATACATAGATAATAGACACAGAAATATGCACATATAGATATATATGTATGCAGGATGTAGCATACATGCAAATATTTCCAAGCCTTATGAGAAGACCTAGAAGCAATAGCAAAGAGACACCCAGTGCCCACATTTGAGTTTCTGATCCAATACTTTAGGGACCGGGACTCCTTGGAGAAATATTTGATTGCATGGTTCAGACAGGGAAAATATAAAACGAGCCTAGAGAATCTTATAGTTACGCCAGAAAGTAGGAAAGTACCCAATAAAGGATGGTCATGTTAAAAGGATTCACCCTAAAATGAGTTTTCAGTGGCCAGTGATAATGATAGCGGTCAGTTATAACCCATAGAGAAATACAGAGTCACGTTTAAATAAATAATTGAATAAAGACATAAACTAGGAGAAGGGACAGCTCTAGTAAATGTAAAAGGAAGTTGAGAAATAGAAAATCACTGCTAGACATTACCATGGAAATAGTAATTATTATTGTATTTATGCTAAAATTAGTAGGCAAAAGGTACTGGAGTTGCAGGATATTTGTGTAGCCTTAAAGTGTCTCCCCTGGACATTTAATAATTACAAATAGAAAAATGGTAATATTACTGGGGAAAACTCAGCAAATACCATTTTAACCAAGCAATCAAAGGTCCCTGGTAATTCATTTCAATATAATGCATGTTACTTTTGTTTTATTGTTGCCAAAAATACATAACCTCAGTCAAATTATGAGAAAACACCAGATAAACTCAAGTCAAAGTGGCAAGTCATGAAAAATAAGGAGAGACTGAAGATCTCTCACATTGGAAGAAACTAGAGATAGGACTCAAATATAATGTTGAATTGTAGATTGGTGAAATGAAAAAAATTCTCAGTGGAAAAAAATGAAAAATCAGAATAAAATCCATAATTTAGTTAATAGCACTGTGTCATTATTAATTTCTTAGTATTACTAACAACATTGGAGGATTTAGGTGAAGTGTATATAAGGACTATACTATGTTTGCAATTTTTGTGAGTCTAAAATTATTAAAGGTATTAGAAGTAAATGTGGGAAAGTTATAAACCAGAGTAAGTCAGCCTTTTCTAGCAGAACATATCCAGAAGACACTGATATAAATACAAATCTCCACATGTTAAAAAAAAAAGTTTCCAAAGACACATGTAAATTAGAGAAATATATTTAAAGTACATGACAAATGAAAGGTTGATTTGGGGGATATTTTTGGCAGTACTGGGGTTTGAACTCCACCTACTAGGCAGGTGCTGGACCACTGGAGCCATGCCCCCAGCCCTAAAAGGCTAACTTCTTTAATATATGAAGTACTCATGTAAATAAGTATGAAAAGAACTAACCAAAAAAATGAATAAAGAATTAACATATAGTTCACAGCAGTGGAAATGGTTCTTAAACATAAAAAGATGTGGCTTAACCTTCCTCATAATAAGAAAAAGGCCATTTCTTACCTAGATTAAAGGTTTAAATGAAATGGTTACTAATAAATTATGTTGCAACAGTCATTAAAAAAAAAAAAACAGGACTCCCTTTACATGGATTGTGGCAATGTAAATAGGTGCTTTTGTGGAGGATTATTTGATGCTGGCTATTAAAATTACAAACATACATATCCTCTGACTCAACAATTCTACTTCTAGGAATTTATCCAAATCTGTACTCCTATGTGAAGAATGATGTGCATATAATGGTAGTAGGTACAAATACAATGTTGTCCATAAAGGAATGGAAACATCTTAAAGGCTCATGAGTAGGGGTTTTAAAAAAATATATTTTTTTGCAGTACTGAGGTTTGAACTCAGGACCTAACACTTGCTAGGCAGGTGCTCTACCACTTGAGCCATTCTGCCAGCCCATGCACAGGTGCTCTCATGCACCAGTAAAATAGCATGAGGATGTTACTTAACATATACTGATAAAAATTTTTCCAAGAGATTTTTAATTTAAAATGCAAAGTATAGTTGGGTGCTGGAGGCTTATGCTGATACTTCTAGCTACTTGGGAGGCTGAAATCCAGAGGATTGCAGTTCTAGGCCAATCTGGGCAAAAAAGTTCATGAAACTCTAACTCAGTGGAAAAAAAATAGCTGGCAGGATGGTGCTTACCTGTCTTCCCACCTGGCTGAAAGCCTAAAATAGGAAAATCATGCTCCAGGACTGCCTGTGCAAAAAGCAAGAACCTATATCCAAGATAAGCAGTGAAAAAAGGGCCTGCGGGATGACTCAAGTGGTAGAGTGCCTACCTAGCAAGCGCAAGGCCCTGAATTCAAACCCCAGAACAAGGGTTTGAATTCAAAAAAAGAAAAAGCAAGGCACAGATCCATGTTTAGATTACCACCGTTTGTCATTTGTGATTTTTGTTTGTTTTGGGTTTTTTCCGAGGTGTTAGGGTTTGAACTAAGGGCCATATGCTGGCCACATTCCCAGCTCACTATTTGTGATTTTTTAAAAAAGGATTTATACTGCCAGCGCTAGTGGCTCACACCTGTAATCCTAGCTGCTTGAAAAGATCAAGGTTCAAGTTCAGCCCATTTCCAAAATAACCAGAGCAAAATGGGCTGGGGGTATGGCTCACGCGGTAGAGCTCCTGCTTTGCAAGCGTGAAACCCTGAGTTCTAACTCCAATCTCATCAAAAAAATTAGTAAGAAGGATTTATACTTTTCAACAGTGGTTACTTCTGAAAAGGAACTAGATTATAGGGATCAGAGGACAAGTTTCACCAAATATACCTTCTATATGGAATTTTTTTATCATGTGAATATATTGTTTATTCAAGTAGATGTTAATAATGTTACTGTTTTTTTCTAGTCCTTATTTCCTTGTTCTATTTGCAGAACCCTGTCTGCTTTAGCTCACTGGTCTGCCATCTTTAGTGACACACCATATCTTCCACTCTTGGCATTTCCATTTGTAAAATTATTCCAGAACAACCAACTCATCTGTTTTGAAGTTGTCGCTACTCTCATAAGTAAGTAGTTACTATAGAATGAAACCAAGAATGGATTCTTACACATTTTACAGGTGCTTTGAGACACCAGCACCCAGCTTCGTGAATTTCTTAGAACATTTCCTCCCATATCATCAAATATTCTTGAAAAACATGATTGTCTGCATATTTTTATCTTCTAAAGTATACCATAATTTGTTTACTTATTTCCCAACTGCAAGAATTTGATTTTTCTAATTTTTCCCACTTTTTAAAAAATTTGTAGTTACAATTATATTACTTTAATATTGTATACATTTCCATAATTTTTATTAATTTCATAAGTGTGTTTATAAGGTAGTAAGATTACATGGTGTTCATGTGCTAGCTTAATCTATTATTGAGCATCTAGATTATTTTTAATTTTAGCTATTGAGGGTAACAATTTCATAGTCATCTTCTCATGTAAATATTTATAATTCTTTTGGGTAGATTCCTAGAATTGCCATTATTCTGTTATAAAATATGGATAATTGATTCCTCAAAAGGGTTGCACTGAATTTCCCTGCCAATTGCACTGTTTTAAAAAGAGAGGAAATCCAACTCAACAATCTAATTGAAAAATGAGCAAAGCACTTAACACTTGTACATAGAAGATATACAAAGACCAGCAACCATGTGAAAAGATGCTAAGCATTATTAGTCACTGGGGAAATGCACAAAACCTCAGACCTACTAGGATGGCTGTAATTAAACAAAGGGATGGGACTCAAGTGTAGGGCGCCTGCCTAAAAAAAAGTGTTGGCAAGGATGCAGAAACATTGAAATTGTCACATATTGCTTGCTAGTGGGAATGTAAAATGGTACAGTCACTGTGGGAAACAGTTTAGCTCTATGGAAAACAATTTTAACATTTCCTAAAACACACAATTACCGTATTACCTAGCAATTCTAATTGGAGGTATATTGAAAAGAATTGAAAACAAAACAAGATACTTGTATGCAAAAGTACATAGCATCATTATTCCCAGTAGCCTAAAGGTAGAAACAATCCAAGTGTCCATTAATAGATGAATGAATGAACAAGTGTAGTGTATACATCGAGTGTAATGTCACTCATCTCAGAAGGAATGAAGTTCTCATACATGCTACAACATGGATGAACCTTGAAAGCATTGTGCCTAATGAAATAAGTTAGGTAAGTAGCCATTAGATAAAAAGAGAAATACTGTATGACTCCACTTACAAGGAACGTCTAGATTATGCAAATTCATAGCAACAGACAGTAGGTTAGAGGTTACCAAAGGCTGGGGGGAAGCAGGAAAGGGGAGTTACTGCTCAATGATTATAGTTTCTGTTGCAGCAATGAAAAGGTTTTGGGAATAGATAAGGGTAATAGTTGCATAGCATTATGAATATAAATAATGCTTCTGAATTTGCACTTCAAAATGATTAAAATGGCAAATTATAAATATATTACCACAATTAAGAAAAAAAAGAAGGCTGGAGGCATGGCTTAAGTGGTAGAGTACCATCTAATAAGTGCAAAGCCCTGAGTTCAAACCTCAGTACTGACCCCCACCCCCCAAAAAAAGAAAGAAAAGAAACAGATTGTATCTAATTTAGATTTGTATATTAAACTGTATTTGTGTTTCTAATAAAATCTTGTCATATAGGTAATATGATTATATGCTAAGGAAATTGATTTTTCTCTTCTAAAGAAATGCACCTGAAATTTAAATCTAGGAAGTTACTGTTCCTCCATGATTCTCAGCACAAGTAGCTGTGGATTTTTAACAAGGGTCTCAAATTAGTTTCATTCAATAAATGTTTACTGAGCTTCCACTAAATGTTAGCACTTTGGGGATATACCATTGTTTTGCCTTGGGTTTATAGTTCAGTTGAGGCTTAGCAGTTTCAAATAAAATAGTCTCTTCTGTGTATAAGTTAGAATACATAGAATTGCCACACCATTCTCTCTTCTCTTTATGCTGCTATCAGTCAGTGTACCTCCATGACCTCTGCCATAGTTTTGTTGTGGTGCACCTAAGTGAAATAAAAATACTTTGGAGAAGACAAATGGTTACTGTTGATAGCAAAATTTCCCTCTTTGTAGGAAACAGTGTGCTATTAATGAAGATTAAATATGAGGAACAGTACTCTGTATGTGTGTAGATTTTAAATTTTCAGAACTTGCAGCATGGGAGACATAATAGGTGCTTAGTAAAATGCTGTTGAACCCAGTTTTCCTTTTAACTTATTTAAAAGGGACAGTTTAAAGAAGTTGATTTTTTTTTTTTTTGGTGGGGCTGAGGTTTGAACTCAGGGCCTCACACCTACTACGTAGGCACTCTTCTACTAACCCCGTTTTGTGTTTGGAGTTTATGAGATAGGTCTCACGAGCTATTTGCCTTGGCTGGCTTCCAACTGCAATCCTCCTGATCTCTGCCTCCTTAGTAGCTAGGATTACAAGCGTGAGCCATGCCCAGCTTTCTGAGGTAGGTTCTCAATATATAGTTCAGGGGCTGGTCTTGAACTCACAATCAAGTGCTGGTATTACAGGCTTGTATCACTACCAAACCTGGCTGAGATAGGAGATACTAACATCAAAGGATACAACCCCAACTCGGTACAGGTTGAGCATTCCTAATTTGAAAATTTAAACTCCAAAATCTGAAACTTTTTGTGTGCCAACAGGACGCTTTTAGATTTTTCAGATTTTGGAGCATTTCAGACTTGGAATTAAGGATGCTCACCTAGTAAAGTCTATCCATATATTCCAAAATCTGAAAAACTGAAATCTGAAGCGCTTCTTGTCCCAACCATTTTGGATAAGTGATACTTAACCTGCATTTAACTTGAAAAAGCAGAATTTAATAAAAGAAGGGGTTAAACATAGGCTCATTAAGCAAAGCAAGTTGATGACCTTTTGAGAAGAAGTTTTCAGGAGGGTTACCGTGTTTACACAGTACAATGAGTTAAAAGTCAGCCCTAGAAGCCTGTTCAATGCAACGATTCTACTTTGGACTAGCTAACTTTCAGGGAATGCTGCTGTCACTGATTGGTTTTCAAAGTCAAGTTTACTGAAACAAAATGTCATTGATAATTAGATTTAAAACCAGTTCTTTTGGTTACTTGGTACTATGATTATAAAAGTCTTCCTAGGAATGAGGACTTATTGTCATCACAGAATTTAATGGGATAGGCATACAATATATACACATTTGTTTTTATGTGTTGCTATCAATATGGAAGAATGTAGTGAGCATTTTTCCTAAGCTTTTCTAATTTCGAATGCATACAAATTTTAGTAGATTTGAGGATATTGTCACGTTCACACTGATCACATTTAATGATAACTTGATCAGGGTCCTTTTCTTAAAGGACCCATTTGTTAATTAAGAGACCAACAAAACAGGAGTCTGCAAGAACCAGTGTCCTAACTAGGATTAGGAATCCTTAGAAAAGTTACATGTGTTTGTTGGCTTGTTTTAATTGACACATTTTTGTTGATTGCTTAAAAGGAAAGAAAATGGCAGGCAGCTATTCAAAAGAGCATAGCACTTGCTCTGAAGAAATTTGCAAAATTTCTATATCTTTAAGATACTATATTAATGTGATGATGAAATCTTTAAAGTCTCTAAGTCTCTTGTTCTAGAACTTAAAGAGTTATGTTTTTCTCTTATGTATTCATGGTTGTATTGAGAGCAAAAAGAATGGGTTCCTTTAAGAATTACAAAAAAAAAAACCCCAAACCTTGGGTGTGGTGGTACACACCTATCTCAGCACTTGGGAGGCCATGGCAGGAGGACCAAAAGTTCAAGGCTAGCCTGGGCTACCTGGAAGAAGAAGAAGAAATTGCAGAGTTCATTGATAATATAGAAGTATTTAATGGTAAATTTTTTTTCTTTGTAGTCAACTGGTGTCAGCACTGGTTTGAATACTTTCCTAATCCTCCCATCAATATTCTTAATATGATAGAAAATGTTTTGGCATTTCATGACAGAGAACTGCTACAACACTTCATAAATCACGATATAACTTCCCAGGTAAGAATTACAAGGTTTTTAGAATGACATAATTTATTTTGAGAGCTAACTTTGATTCTGGTATAAATAAAATAGAATTGCCATAAAGGACTAATAAAAAGACATTGACATTTTGTGTTTTTAACACTGTTCATTCTTTTTTTATTACTCTTCTTTCTTGAAAGTCCATAAGGAAAGTCTCTCTCATCCTGAAAGTCTGTGTAGCTCAGCAGAGGAGCACTTGCCTAGCATGCATGAAGCCTTGAGTTTGATCCCCAGTTTGGGGGAGAGCAAGGCAGGGGAGTGAGGTGGGGGGGAGGTCCAAATTAAGGTATTTCTCATAATTATATACTTAATATAATGACTTCATAGGTTAAATGTAACAATGTTATCAGAGACACTATTTTGGCTTTTTTTTTTTTTAGAAAACTAATAAATTGTTCCTTATTTATTTTAGCTGTATGCATGGCCTCTTCTTGAAACTGTGTTCTCAGAAGTACTGACAAGAGAGGAGTGGCTCAAATTATTTGATAATGTCTTCTCCAACCAACCTTCCTTCCTCCTGATGACTGTGGTCGCCTACAACAAATGTTCTAGAGCTCCTTTGCTCAATTGTACTCTTAAGGATGACTTCGAGGTAAATACCCTGTTCTTGAGAGGAGCATAGTTCAGTGGTAGAGTGCTTGTCTAGCATGCGTGAGTGCCTGGGTTCAAAGCTCAGCACCACCAAAAAACAAAGAAGAGAGAAGGTTCTCAAATTTCAGTGATTTCAGCTGAAAAATACATTTATTGATTGAGTGCCTATTATATATTAGGCACTGACGTTAGGTAGTAAAAATATAATAGATAACAAGTTGGACCTTGTTCCTGAGCTTATGTAGTTTGTAGACAGTTAAACAGGCAATTACAACAAGCCGTTAGTGTTATAATCATAGTGTCAGAAACAACTGTAATGTTGGGGTTTTGTGCTTTGCTGCCTTCATTAAGGACATTCACCACTGAGTAGTTTATTCTTTGTGGGCTCTTATCAGTGATGTACTGGTCTACACTAGTGTGGATGCTTATTACATGTACAAAATGATGACTGAGAGTTTTGAGGCTTGGCAGGAAGGGGACAGAGAGAAAGCAAAAGCACTGGAGGTGGCTTTAGAGCAGGCACTTTTGGTGGATAGGATGAATTAGTTGGGAGTTTTTTGTGTATATGTGACATACTATGTGATTCCTGTTAAATTTACCCTTTTTACTTTTCAGTCACTTATACATACATGTATATTTTAGAATTTAGATTTGCCAGCAGAAACAAGATTATGTGGAACCATTGCACATGCTTTTAAGCAATTGGGCTAGTTTATTTTCAGAGGCTAAATTATTTTCTAATTTGTTTACTTTGAATTTTGAATTTTTAAAAATCCAAGGAGAAAGAGGTTGTTCCATTGTTCAAGCATTCTTTTTGAATTATAATGGAGGCCTTCTCTTTGAGTAAAATGTAAGCAGTTTGATTTCAAAATTTCATAATATGATTATGACATTTTATTACATTTTTTTAAATACGAACTTGAATTTTTGTTTTATTTATTTAATTCATTTACTTACTTTTTGTAGTACTAGGGATTGAACTCAGGGCCTCGAAAGCACTCTACCACTTGAGGCCAGCCCCCCCTTTTTTTTTTTTGGTGACCTGGGGATTTGAACTCAGGGCTTCTCCACCATCCTTTTTTTTTTTTTTGGTGATGGGGGTTTTTTTTCGAGATAGGGTCTCACAAACTATTTGCCCGGGGCTGGCTTCGAACCGTGAGCTTCCTGATCTGCCTCCTGAGTAGCTAGGATTACAGACATGAGCCACTGTTCCCCAGCTTATTTTAAAACTTGGTTTAAGAAAAGCTTCAGTGAATTTGCAAAAAAAGAAAAATCCTAATGATAGATTCACTTTGATATTTTTTAACTATTTTAATTCTGCCTCATTTTTTGTTAAGTAAATCTCAATTTAAGCATAAAGTTTTCTTGCAGTATTTTTTTCACCATCGGAATAACCTGGATATAAATGTTGTGATTAGAGAAGTTTATCACCTCATGGATACCACGCCTGCTAATATTCATCCAGACAGCATGCTGGATGTTTTTGTTGCACTGACAAAAGGGCAATATCCAGTATTTAATCAATATCCAAAGTTTATTGTGGACTACCAGACCCAGGAACGAGAAAGGATAAGGAATGATGAATTGGATTACTTGAGAGAGAGGTAATCATGGAATTGTTGTTCTTTGGTAGAAATGAGATCTCTTATAAATATAAACATGAAAGTTTTTAATGAAAAATGCATTTATTAAGTATTTTCATAAAATCAAAGTTTGAAAACTGGAGATATTTAAGATATTTAATTCTTACATCTAGAAGTAAGATTAGGTATTACACATTAATCAAGTGCACATTTTGTGTCTTGGTTGTTTTTGAACTAAATTACTTAGCTTTCTTATTTGCATTTTCATAATAGTAAATATTGTCTACTTAAGGCAGACAGTTGAAAATATGCAAGCTGAAGTAAACCAGCAAAAAATTGAAGATGAAGCTTGGTACCAGAAACAAGAACTGCTTCGTAAAGCTGAGGAAACAAGAAGAGAAATGCTCTTGCAAGAGGAAGAGAAGATGGTACAGCAAAGACAGAGGCATGTTTTACCACTTTGAAAAAATCTAGACACATGAGGTGGTTGATAATTTTTATTTTCTTTCATTTTCTCATTTAGGAACAGTATTTGTAAAATTACTCAGCTTAATTTCCACTAAGTAAATATTTTAGTTAATAAAAAGAACATATAACACTTTTCAAAAAATTGGTATATAGAATTCTAAAGTTATACTGAATATGATATAACTTTGCACTGAATTTTCAGAAGTAATATAAGCTATAATGTACCTTGAAGGACATTGTTTAAAAACATTATTCTATAGTAGGCAGAATGCTTTGTAATACAGTACTGAATAAATCACCTTTAGAGGAATGTAATTTAAATTTTGTCGAGTAGGGGTAGTACTACAGGGGTTTGAACTCAAGACTTGCTAGGTAAGTGCTGTACCACTTGAGCCACACCTCCAGCCCCCCAAAAATGTTTTTTAAAATTGTATGTTAAATATAAGTCCATGACCTAACAATTAAAATATATATTATCTCCTTATGCATTTAATATTTAGGCAAACAAGGGAAAAAGTTCTTAGATGCTCATTCAAAAATACGTTAATACAGTAATAGATTTAATTAAAGTTGTGGAATAGGAAGTTAGAGTAAGCCTAATATCAGGAAACACTCTTCTATTAAGTGTTTACTGATTTTTATTCTGGGTGGAACTTTATGAAACATTTCTAGGGTAGGTTAAAAGGAATTATAGAACCAAGCTATTAGTCTTCTAAAATTCTAAAAAAAAATAAGCACACATCATGTTTGGAGCCTTTTTGGCATTCTTCCTTCACTTGTATTGAAATGACCTGACAGGTAGACCTGTTAGGAGTTGGAGTATTAAGAGGATCACCAGTTGCACGGGGACCATTTGTCATCTTCATGAATATAGACTTGTGTAATTGAGCACCTTTCCTTTATATATTGTAAAAACAATTGCATTGCAATGGCAGCAGTGAAATTGACAAAGTATATAAAAAACTAGCTAGCATACACCTATTGTAAAAAATTAAATCAATATCAGAAAATGGTTTGTTACTCTCAACATATTTTGTATTGAAGACTAGCTGCTGTGAAAAGAGAGCTGACAATAAAGGAAATGCACTTACAAGATGCTGCTAGAAGGCAATTTCTGAAGCTTCAGCAAGATCAACGAGAAATGGAACTACAAAGACTGGATGATGAAATTGAAAGAAAGGTTTATTTTTATTTGTTTATTTAGTTAGATTTGGTGGGACTGGGGCTTGAACTCAGGTCTTTGCACTTGCAAAGCAGGCACTCTCTAGCCCATTTTATTCTGGTTATTTTGGTGATGGAGTCTTGAAAACTGTTTGAGTAGGCTGCCCTCAAACTGCAGTCCTCCCAATCCCAGCCTCCCAAGTAGCTAGTATTACAGGTGTGAGCCACTGGCAACCGGCTTATTATTCTTAATCTTAGTAGTCATACATCTTTATTTACTGTTATTTGAATGTAACATACACCTTCAAATTAAATAATAATCCTAGAGTCCACAATAAACACTAAATAGTCCCTTTAATTTTATTTATTTTAACCCCCAGCTATTCTCATTCTCTTTTTATTTTCTTTTATTAGAATATATTCATTGTACAGGGGGGACTCATTGTGACAATTCCAAATAGACTTACAATGTACATTGCTTATATCACCCCCACCATCTCCCTCCCACCCCCCCTTCCCATCCCACTTAAAGCAATTGCAAGAATTTTCATTGTTCGGTTTTCTGTATGTATGAAAGCCCATCAACCATATTCCCTCACCTTCATCTCCTCCATTCACCCTCCCCACACACACAGGTACTCTCCCGCATACTACCGTTTTACAGTCCTTTCTCCCCTTATTAATTCCAAAGTCAGTGTTAAAAGGGGTTTCTCACTGCATTGTTGCTGTGAGCATACTGTACTTCAGTCCATTCAACCCATTCCCTTACCCTGCCTCACCGCTTCCCTCCCACCCCCCATTATTCAATAGCTCTCAATACATGCTCTCTCATTCTCTTTTATAGTTCACTAATGGTTAAATATTGAAGACATAACAAGAAAATTAGTTACATTGACTAGTGTCTTTGATGACTTATTTCTCCAAAAATAAAAATATGTCGTATCAGTTAACCATTACATTAATTGGAAATATCTTTTTTAATATGAAAATTTACACATGATCATTATAAAAAGAATTCGCAGTACAGGATTATAGAGTTAAAAGTGGACATTTTCATAGTCCCTCATTTCATCTCCAGAGATAACTTATTTTAAAAAATGGTTAATTGCATAGCCTTTTCATATATTTATATAAAAATGGGATTATTCTCTCTGGACCTTCTGTTTCTATTGCATGCTTTTTAAAAGATATATGCTGAATATATTTTCATATTGTCATCTATATCTATTTCTGTTTGTGTCTGGTTTCTTAGTATTCCACCGGTGAGTGTACCATAGTTTATTTAACCCTTTGGTACTGGACATTTAGGTTAGACACTTAAAATACCTATATTCTAAGCAAGTCAGTTTGGAATACATTAGTCTTAATAGTTGCTAACCTGATAGGTGGCAAATAGTTTACATTAATTTGCCTTTTTGTTTCTAATTCCTGAGGTTGAATATGTCTTCACTTTCTATTTGTAGAAAACTATAATTTACATATTCATATCATTTGTACTTTTTCTACCCTACCTGAAAAATAACTAAAGCAAAAAAGGGCTGGGGCATATGTCAAGTGGTAGAGCACCTGCTTAGCAAGTACAAGATCTTGAGTTCAGACCCCAGTACCTCCAAAACAGAAAGAAAAAAAGACATCTTTTTATAACATTAATGCTTGGGGTTTTTTTCAAAACTAATTAATTTTAATTGGTTTTACAATCTGTAAATTTTTTAATTACCTCATCTAGTGAATCATATTAATATCTCATTATTGTTAAGAAGTGTGTGTTCTTCCCCAAAAGTAATGCAGGCTTAGAACTTTGATACCTTTATTTCAAACCATTTGAGATTGAGCAAAGCATGTTCTATTCAAAGAATCCTGATAGCAGCACTGCTCAGGCCTCTGCCGGCCCTCTGGCCTTCCATCCTTCCAGCTGCCTACTCTCATGTTGTGCTGTCACCTGGCCTAACTGCCAAAACTCTTTGTAAGCTCCAGCAGGAAAGAATGTGTGAGTCCAAAGTGACACATACATGTGACTGCCAACATCTGCTGGCAGCAAGCAGAGTTGATCCGTTTTTGCAAATTCATGAGCAAAGGAGCTTCTGCAACTGAAGTTCCTAAAAAATATTTTGTGCCCTGCCAAACCTCTTCTTCACCTCTTGGCATTTACTCTTATATCATAGACTCAAGCTTTGAGCTACCTGCTTTTGCAGTAACCTCCTTAAGGTGAATTAGTCTATTTATTTTACCCCTTAGATGTATCTTTGTACACCCACTGTATTTTCATTTTTACTGTTTTCCTATTATAGGTGTTTGGTAGCATGTCCTTTAGTCACCAGTATTGGTAGTATCGAAGGTAGTAATGCAATCATTACATGTTTACTATTCTAAATAAATGTATGGTGATAGATGGCTGACTGTTTATGGGTTTTTTGTTGATATTGTTTTGTGTGAACACAGACTGTGTACTTTATTCTCACCCAGGTTTATACTTGGGGTTCCAGACAGCCAAATATTTTTAAGATGACTTCTAAGGTTCTCAAGAGAGGGTCTTATCCAAATCCTCTCTGATATAGAAACACTTCCAAGTAATCAAATTTTGGAGAATGCTGAAATGTAAATATGACTAAATTTGAGCAGAACACATACAGATTGGATAGTCCAAGATAAATTTTATCCTGGAGTTACTAGTTGTCAATTCACATTTATAAAAAGTTTAAAAGCTAAATTGAAAACTTAAATAAACGTTACATTTAATAAGACTAAACATTCTGTACTTTTACCAACCTCAAATTTTGGTTGCTCAAGTTTTTCTACTTTACTATTGGGTACTGTAATACAGTAAGCTATCACCTATTCTTATCTGTGCAAATGAGCACATGGTAGCTGTGTTTTCTTTTTTAAAAAATTAAACTTAACTCACAATATCCCTAGATTCTACAGTTAATGTTAATACATTGCCAGTTACTATGGTTTCAAAACCCAATTCCTGTTTTTTAAAAAAATGCTGTTAGTGGGTTGTCCACATTATAAGATTACTAAATCCATTAAAAATTGTTAGGTAGTCGGGAGGAGATGGCAGGAGAATCAAGGGTTGAAAGTCATCCTGAACTCTTAGTGAGACCCTGACTCAATTAAAAACCAGAAAAAAAAATTGTTTTGTAAGTTACTTTTGGCATTCACCATTTGTTGTTTGGCCATAGGTACAAATGAGAGATCGTGAAATTGCTACCACAGCCAAAGACCTAGAAATGAGACAGCTGGAGCTCGAATCACAGAAAAGACTTTATGAGAAGGTAAAAATAAATCAATTATTTCCGAAGTAGGCAAAGCACAGTTTGTACAAACCCTTTTTAGACTATATTCATGGTTTTTATAATGCTCATTTTACTTGCTTTTTAAGCAGAATACAGTGTCATCCAGGATTGTAAGGTAGCCAAAATGTCTGCATGTACACTTTCTTGTAATTCTTTAATTCATGTTTCTGTAGCAGCTTAGTCTGGTGTCTGAAGCACCAGATGTAAGTCCCAGATTTTGCCTCAGGATCTTTTATCAGTTTGCTGAGTTTTCCTATGTTTGTGTTCTAGTGACTGTGAAATTATCCTGATATGAATGATCATCCCAAATCTGAAATGCTCTCATATCTGAAACTTTGGGTGTCAACAGTTAGGCTCAAAAAATTCAAATTTTGGAGCATTTCAGATTTTAGACTTTTGGATCAAGACTGTTCAGAGTTTATGCAAAGATTCCAAAATCCAAAATATCCCAAAATCTGAAACACTTCTGGTCCCAAGCATTTCAGACAAGGGATACGCAACCTGAAACTTCCAGGAGTCTTACAAGGCAAATGAGACAAGAACTGTACCTTAAATTCGAATCTTCTGGAAATACCTGTTCAGCAAATACCTGTTTAGTACATACAAGTCAGTTTTTAAGTCACTGGAAAAAGCTATTAATATCTTGTTACTCACTTAGTTTTAAAACCGTAAGTTTTTACTTTCTTTAGCCTTCTTAAAGTCAATGTCAGACTTCAAGTTTGAAATTAGTTTTGATTGCAAATTCATAACAGGTAACATAAGCATGATTGTTCATTATCCACCTTAAAAAATACTTAAAACGTAGCATCTGTTCATACCTATATGAATTTCTTCTAGAATTGTGCAGAGAATTTGCAATTTGGCTAATAAGTTTACTATGATTTGAATTAAAATGTAATACATTTAGACTAATCTTAAGTTTACTTTTCTTTGTTTGTGTACAGTGCTAAGGATTAAACACAGGGCACTGCACATGCTAGGCAAGCTTTGTTCCTCTGAGTTACATCCCCAGCCCCTAAAGTTTCCTTTTTTGTCATCTTTTCTTTGGGGATGAGAGGATGGCAATCAAGGGCATGATTTCAGAATTAACAAAAAATTTCCAAGAAAAGTCCTAAAAATTTCCAGATGTTTTTCTCTCAGATCCTCAAATATTAACATTTTACTAAATTTGCTTTATCTTTCTCTTTCCTCCCTATCTATACACATGCATACATACTTTTTTTTCTGGACCATTTAAAGAGTTGTAGTCACGATGCTCTTTTACTCCTAAATATTTCAGTGTATAAGGAATCCTCTTATGTAATTGTAGTATAATTATCAAAATCAGGAAGTTAGCATAATATCTGTTATATAAACCTTATTCAGATTTGATCAGTTGTCCGAAAAACATCCTTTAAAGTGTCCCATGTCTTTACTCTCCTTTAATTTAGAACTCTTCAGGGCTAGAGGTATGGCTCCATGGGTAGAGTGAGCCACCAAGTGCAAAGTCCTGAGTTAAATGCCAGTACCACCAAACAAAAAAAAATTGGAACTGTTCTTTGTATTTAATGACATTGATATTTCTTGAGGCCAGACGTTGTAGAAGACCCTCAGTGTTGGCGTTTTACTTCTTCCTGGTGACAGTCAAGTTACACACTGTGGCAGGAATGCCGCAGAAGTAAGGCCGAGCTGCTTCTGAATAGCAGAGTAGGGGCAGATGTTTATTAGACCCTCTTTTTCTTTGGCCTGTACTAGGATATAAACTCAGGGCTTTGTACTTATTGCTACCACTTGAGCCACACTTCCAGCTCTTTCTATGTTCTTTTTGCAGTCTTTTGAAGGAAGTGTTTATTTAAGCAGGTTAAAGAAGAGTTAAACCACTCGGTCCTAAAGGTTATCTGCTCAATGTAATGCAAATGTGTTAATATCATCTTTTTCAAATTGGCACTCGTGATTTAACACTTTACCTGCCTAACTTAAGCTCTTATATTAGCAATTTTGTCCCAGAAAACAGACAGTGTTATAATTACCTCTTGGAAATATGAGCTTAATATTCTGTACATACCTAATTTGAATTTTTTTCTTCAGTGCTGGTGATTAAACCCAGGGTCTTGTGCACACTAGCCAGTCAAGCATTTTAACAGAGCTATACCTCCTGCCCTAAATTTTTCTTCTTCTTTTTTCTTTTTTAAAGTACTGGGAATGAAACCCAGATCCTACACATGCTAGGCAACCATGTTACCACTAAGCTACATCCCCAGCCTCCCAAAAATTTTTGGGGGGTACTGGGTGTTGAAATCAGGGCCTTATGTTTACTAAGCAAGTGTTCTACCAGTTGAGCCATGCCCCCAGGCCTTTTTGCTTTTAGTTTTTCAGATAAGGTCTCACACTTTTGCCCAGACCAGCCTCAGACTCCTGTCCTCCTACATCTGCCTCCCGAGTAGCTGTGATTATAAGTGTGAGTCACCATAACCAGCTTTTTTTCTTTTTCTTTTTTTGAGATATGGTAGCCCAGGCTGGCCTCAGACTCATGATATTCCTGTCTCAGCTTTCCGAGTGCTGGGATTACATATGTATACCACCATGCTCTGCTTCCAAAATTATTTTTGTAACAGAAGAATAAAACTAAGCACTAAGGAAAGAACAAGCAACTAAATACTGATCTGTGACTCAGATCCCTTCCTTTCATCTTCCAGGACCTTGTTTTAACATAAAATCTCTCACAAATAAGTACTTTTTCCTAACATAAAACCACCCTTGCAGAAATTGACATGGGCATTATGAATGTGTGCCACAGGGTCTACAAGACCACCTGTGAAAGTGAAAAGGCACATAGGGTCCAGGAGAAACCAAGCAGAAGCTTCCATTTGTTTTCTGCCAGTAGGTTTGTGTAGGCAGTATTTAATCATCTTTGCAAAGATATATGATAACTTATACAGAGTATTTATTGCCTACTGAGAAAACTAACTCCAGCTCCATGACCTGGATTTTACTTGGGGTCACGTGGACAGGTAGTGCACATGGGGCCCCTCTGGAGGTCAGACTGCTACGGCATGAGTATGTCTACCACCAGATCACATTGTTAGCATAAACCACCTGGCATGACAGGAGTTCCAGGGATACAAAGATCTTGTCAGGCAGAGTGTTTCAACAGCTCAGAGTTACCTCCCAGGACTGGTCAAAGACCAGTCTCCTCTTTGAAATGTGCCAGTGTTTTCTTTTCTTTGAATAACTCAGGCCTACTGAATTAACTCTTTCCTACACAGTGTCTGATAGCATAGTATGTACTACATGGATAGTAATTTCCTTCTTTATCCCTTGACCTAAAAAACTCTAATTTAAGAACACAAATTGACAACTTCCTTCACCCAGTGTGCTTCTGTTCACTCCTCTTCACTGCTTTTAGATTTCCATTGTTTCCTCCTGTCCCTAGTCTCTCCATTTATAAACCTACATTTTATCTCCATTGCAGCACTGAAATTCCATGTTCTGCTTTTCTTTTCCATGAAATGAAATTATTTCTCCAAATAACTAATCTCTTCATAATTGTCACTTGCAGTGGCTATCCTTGAGCCATAAGATAGTTAATGTGGCTATACGCTGTATGTTTAAGTGGTGTATGAGTTTTGGCTACATTTCTTCTGTATGTAATTGAAAAATATTTTTATTTTTAGCTAATTTAAAGCTAATTAAGCTTCTAGATAATTAGAAAAGTAGAAAAACTATCTTAATCAAGAAATAGCAAGTGCTAATATGGTAGTGATGAGTGAAATTATTTACATACAATTTGTATTTTGTTGTTTTAACTTACATCTTCAGCTATTTTTTACCGCCAACTGCCACACTCAGTATTCACTTCCCTTTCCCCCGCCCTTGGCAACTACTAATCTACTGCCCATCTCTGAATTTGCATATTCTAGACATTTCATAAAATAGAATTATACAGTGTGTGGTCTTTTATAATTGGCATCTTTTATGTAGCATAATGTTTTCAGAGTTCATCTATATTGTAGCATAAATCAGTACTTCATTCCTTTTTATACCTAAATAATAGTTCATTATATGAGTAAAACACATGTTGTTTATCTGTTTGTCAGCTGGTGGGCATTTGGGTTGATTCCAGATTTCACTATGATGATAAGCTGCGGTGAACATTCACGTACAACTTTTTGTGTGGACATGTGTTCAGTTGCCATAGATACATGCCTAGGAGTAGAGAGATGAGATTTCTCTGCGTTCTCATGAACAGTTATTGTTGTCTTTTTTAGTATAGCCATAGTAACAGTGGTGTCTTACCGTGCTTTTGGTTTCATTTCCCCAGTGACTAATGATAAGCATCTTTTCACATATTCATTGGTCATTTTTATATTTTCTTTGAAGATAGGTAGTTACTATCTGTTCACATTATATGTGAGTCATGCTTTCTTGGTGTTTTTAAATAAATGCAATTTTTGTTAAGATGTTTTTAATAATGTGGCAGTTATGAAAATCAGATTGCCACACCACTCTGGGATTCCTTATTATGTTTTTGCTTTGTTACTTTTCTGTTAATTGTATAAAGTCTCTATTCTTTGTTGTGCGCAGCCTCTGAAGTCTTTGTTAAGTTAGCGTGGTAGTCCACTCGGCTGATTTCTTATCAGATGCTTTGAACCAGATGCTTCTGGTCTCTGCTGAAGGACTCTGCATGTTGGGGCACACGGTCCAGCACTTAGCAAGGCAGTTTACAGTTCTGACTCATATATCACTTCCTGGTTTTACAAAACCTCACCCAGAAGTGACACTTAGGACCCTCTCAGGTGAGAGTGCACACAGCCCTTGGCATGTGCACAGCCTTTCACGTGGCCTTATAATGCATCTGGTGAGCATCTGAGCCCCCCAGCTTTTCCTATGAAACTTCTTGGTTATCCTGTTTTTTGCTCTAACCGTGATCCATTGCCTTAGCCAGCCAAAATATTTACTAATTTCCTCCAAATGTCCCCAGAGAACAAGCTGTTTGTTCTTCACACTAGGTAAGTTCTGAGTGAGGTCCCAGGGAGACAGCCTGGAGAGTGGGGTCCAGACAAGTCTCAGTGATTCTCTGAGAAGCTTTGAGAGAGCCCCAGCCCTGTCTTCTCCATTGGTTGCCAGGCTGCTGGTTTTCAAAACTGACACAGAGCTTGGAGTGGGGTGAGAATGAGAATAACACAACTTCAAATTACATGGAGCTTCCTGTTCCTACTGAGAGTCGGCCATTTTAATGAATAAAGCCTCCCCAGATTGCTACAAACCTTTGGTTAATTTCCAAAATCCTGACAGTTTTTGCCAGGATTCTCAGTGCTTTATGGAGGAGAGAATTTTCAAAGGCCCTGACTCATTTTCATTGACATTCCACTCTTTGCCTTTTACTTTGAAAATTAGGTTTTGTGTGCATATTAGTGGAAAGTTAGCTTGCATTTTAGCATTATTATTTATTTTAAACAGAATCTTACTACAAATCAAGAGGCTGTTGCAAAAGAAATCCGAGAAGATGTAGATGCCCATCGACGGAAAGTGGACCTTGAAGATCACATGTTCCATAAGCTCATTGAAACTGACCAGTCTCAGTGCAGAAAAGCTCAGCAGGTAAAAGTACAAATTTAGTGTATATGTAAAAGCTTGTGATGCTGAGGCAACTCATTTCTTTGCTTCACCTGTCTAGACCCTCGCATTGCTTTATTTATTTAGAAGGTGCTTCATTGATAGTCATATAATGTATCTTTTATATCCTTTGAGAATCTTAAGACATTAAGAAAAACAAGGGAAATAGTAACTTTACAAATTACACTGTCCTACTATGTTCTGTTTCAGAAATTATCCCTTGGTGGATAAAGTTGCAGAACATGGGTCCTTGCCTATTAGCCAGCATCCCTAAATAAGTATGGAAAGGCTGTCTTTGAGTTAGGGAGGTCTATGCTAAATTTGAGGGCATTCTACACTGTAAATCTTTAAGAAAGTTTCCAAATTTATTTTAAAGAATTTCACGGGGGGTTGGGGATTTAGCTCAGTGGAAGAGCGCTTGCCTGGCAAGTGCAAAAAAAAAAAAAGAATTTCATGGAATACTCACTCAATAATGCTGACCTAAGTGAGCTAGAAGTTGAGGCATTTGAAAAAAAACTTTTTCTGTTACCCCTTTAACAGAATGGATTAATGTCCAGGGCCGGTCCTATTCTCAAAATCAGGAATAGTGTAAGAGAAAGGAGACCTGTTCTGCAGAAATCCTTTAGCTGCTTCTCCCCACCCCAAAATATCCCAGTTTTTTTTTTTTTAAAGGCTTTTGTCTAATCTGTAAAAATGGGATTTGATCCCTTTTCAGAGTGTTGAAAACATGGAAGTTGTTAAATCCCATCCATCCCTAGCCTAGAAGTTCTTGACCTTGGCTGTACATTAGAATGACTTCGGGAGTTTTTTTTAAGTACCAATTTCCAGCTGCTTTGAAAATGGGTTGTGAATTAGTTTGTGGTGGATCTTGGAAGTCATTTTGTTTTGCATACTCATTTTGTTTTGTGCCGTGCAACTGTATTAAACACTTGGATACATTGAACAGATCATATAGTACCTTGTTTCTCAAATTTACTTTATCTTTTTTTTTCTTTTATTCATATGTGCATACAATGTTTGGGTCATTTCTCACAACTTTATCTTAGGTAATTGAAGAAAATTTGGCAAAAGCTGAGCAAGCATGCCTAAATGCTGACTGGCAAATTCAAACTTTACATAAACAAAAATGTGATGATGTACAACGAAATGAAGGTTACCAAGAAATAGCCAAAATCCTTCAGAAAAACAGAAGGAAAGAAATAGAGCTATTAAGTGCTATGACAGAAGAGGAAGCTGAGACAGTAAGAATAATGTTACAGACTTATTATTCTACTAAACATTTAAGTCTTGAAATAGTACCTAACCAAGTGATTAAAAAAAAAAAGCCAAATAATTTCTATTGGAAAGACAATTGAACCTTAGTGGATGTTTCTCCAGGAAGTTATCTAATATTGATGCTAACAAAAAATGATTGCGTACCTTTCGTTTACACTGGCATGTTTCACTCAGCCAGTCAGCTCCTGGATTTGTTCTGGCTGACTGCATAACATTACTGCTTTAATTCACATTAATTCTTTGTACTTAGAACATAGAAGATTTGGAATGGGTAGAACTTGTTTGTAGCTACTACAACAAAACCCAAACTAACTGACTATAAATCAGGTAGAAGTGTTTTTCTTTTTGACTAGAAAGCAGTCTGGAGGTAGCCATTCTAGTGTTAGAATCATGGCTTAAAGGTCATCAGTCTCCCTTTTGCACTGCCTCATAGTGTATGGCTTTCATTCTCAGCTATACCTGATAGTTCCAGCTGTCACATGTATATTCCAGTCAGGAGGAAGAAGGTACAGCAAAATTGTAAAATGTCCTACCTTTGGTCTTTTAACTACTTTCCTGGATTTCCTATTTCTAGCCACATTTGTCCGCAAAGGATGCTGGAAAATATCATTTGTAGCAGGGGAGTGTTATGATCCAAAATAAATTTTTCCATTCCTAAAGAAGACTTGAAATGGATTTGAAATGGTAACTAAGAGTATAAGTCACATTATAACTTCTGGTTGATGCCCCCAGCAACTCTAGGACCTCTGTTCTGTAGGTGCCATCACAGATGCTGTGAACTTTGTTAAGGACACAGAACTGGGGAGGGATCTGACTTTAGACTTGGGTTTGAACTCAGGACCTCTACTTGCTAGGCAGGTCCTCTACCACATGAACCACTCCACCAACCCTAATTATCTGACGTTTACAGATTTTATTGACAAGATAGAGCATTCAAATTAAAAATCATCAGTAGAAAGCTAGCTTAATATAAGATTTGAATCCTATGTAAATGAACTGTTATCTTGACAACAGTTGGGACCTAGCTGTGTACTACATAGCACTGCGAGGTACTGGGTGATACACAGACCATGCCTCTGATCTCAAGGTTTTCCCACAGTCCAGAGCCACCACAGGCACTCCAGATCCCAGATACCAAGCAGGTCCTTTGTGTCCTGACTACGAAAGAAACAGGAAGATCTGTTCTACTATGGGAGCCTGCGTTACCATGGGTTTGATGATCTTTTCTCCTGGCTTGTTATAGTGGAAAGAAGCTGAAGAAAAGGAGTCTGAGTTGAGATCAGAAAAGAAAGCTTCTGCGCTCTTGGATGCATCTAGACAGCGGTATTTGAAGCAGGAGATGAGTGCTGCTTTAGGACATGCTGACAAGCCATTTCATAAAGGTCAGTGTCCGCGAGTGAGTCTCTTTGTGCCATTATGGATTCCTTCTCTTAATGTGTTCTGTTAGAAGTAAATCTGGGAGGTATTTCGGCACTTTGACTCAAATTATGCTCAGTTGAAAAGTAATCACTAGCTACGTTTTTGTGGGGGTAGGAAAGGAGCTGAGGATGTGGCACTGTTTAAAATAACAGAACTCCAATCAAGAAAAAAGTCTCAGCTGTCCTGTAGAACTCTTTTATTCCATGGACCCATGGTCATTGATATCCTCTTAATCTCCTGAAGTGTGATTACCCCCCCACCCCCAAGGGCTTTTTCTACTTTATTTTAGTAAAAAGATATATTTTGCCAACATAGCTGATCCCCAAACAATAGTATATTAGAGTACCACAAGGAATCTTCAGGGGATCTAATCAAGCATTAGATTTTGGTACAAAGTGTGCAATGGCATTAACTAAAAAAAAAATCAAAATTATAAAATAAAGTACAGATGTGGGAAACTTTCACTGTATTTTTTTACTATTTCAGTCTTTTCTAATGTATATGTACTTTTTTATGTTTTAGGGATTTTTTTTGCGGTACTGGGGTATGAAGTCAGGGCCTACACCTTGAACCACTCCACCAGCCCTTTTCTGTGAATGTTTTTTTCAAGATCGAGTTTTGAACTATTTGCCCAGGCTAGCTTCGAACCTTGATGCTCCCGATCTCTGCCTCCTGAGTAGCTAGGATTAGAGGCGAGAGCCACCAGTGCTCGGCTCTAATGTGTATATATATTTAAAATAACAACTTCATTGATTTGTAATTCACATACCATATAGTTTATCTGTTTATAATGTGTACAGTATTACTGTATATTAAGAAATATATTCATAGGCTGGCAGAGTGGCTCAAGTGGTAGAGTGCCTGCCTAGCAAGCCTAAAACCCTGATTTCAAACCCTAGTATCAAAAAGTAAAGAAAAAAAGATGAAACAAAAGAAATATATTCAAAGTTGGTGTGGTACACACTCCTGTAATCCCAGCACTTGAGAGATTAAAGCAGGAGGATCTTGAGTTCCAGGGCAGCTTGGACTATATAAGACTGTCTCAAAAGAAAAAAAAAAAAAACTGGCATGGTAATTGGTGATTTACTCATGTAATCCCAGGTACTCAGGCAATCAGGATCAAGTTTCGAGGTCAGCCCAAAAAGTTAGGAAGACAACCACCCTCCCATCTCAGACCCCATCTCAACAACAAAACTGAGCATAGTAATGCATACCTGTCATCCCAGCTATGCAGGAAGCATTATTAGGAAGATAGTAGTCCAGGCAAAAACACTAGGCCCACCTCAAAAATAACTAAGGCAAAAAGGTCTGGGTGTGTAGCTCAAGTGTCTAGTAACACCTGCCTAGTAAGTGGGAAGCCCTGCGTTCAAACCCCAATATTGCCATAACAAAAAGAAAAGAAACATGATTCAGAGCTGTGCAATGATCACCACAAGCATTTTTGATAACCTGAACCTAAAATAAACTGCATCTGTCAGCATCACTCTTCATTTTCCCTCACTCCTTCCCACTAAGTACTTTTTGTCTCTAAATTTGCCTAGTCAGGAAATGTCATGGAAAGACCAATATATATGGCCTTTTGTGTCTGGCTTCTTTTACTTGGCATAGTGTTCTGAAGTTCTACAATGTGTAGCATAAATCAATACTTAATTCCTTCTTATTACTGAATAATATTACATTATAAGGATATTCTTTATTTTTTTTAATCCATTCATCAGTTGATGGACATTTAGGTTGTTTATACTTTTTCTTTCTTTCATCAATTGTTTGACAATACTGGGGATCAGACCCAGGGTCTTGTGCATGCCAGGTGAGCATCTATCAGTGAGCTGCTTCCCCACCCCCACCCCACATTGCTTCTTTAATTTTTACAAGTAGTACTTGGAGGAAGTGAGGAGTGGACTGTGATTCTGAACAAGCTGCATATTTAAAATCAGCTTACGAAAGATACCAACCTCTTCTCCTAACCCCTCATACTGCTGTTTTACAAAGGAGAAAAAAATTCTTGAGACTTTTAAAGAACCTGTATATTAGAAATAGAAAAATGTGAGAAACTGCAAACCCCATGCCTAGTAGTAAGTAGCCTCATCAGTAATCTTCCTGCATGTTGTCCCTCTGCCTCCAGTGGAGAGAAGCAACCTACAATGTTTAACCCTTCTAAATTTCACCCAGAATTTATTAATAAGCCCCCAAGTTTTTGTTTTTGTTTTTGTTTTATGGTACTGGGGTTTGAACCCAGTGCCTCAAGCTTTCTAGGCAGGCACTCTACCACTTAAGCTACTCCACCACCAGCCCCCGAGTTTCAAAAGGTAACTATTTAAATTTGTGTCCATCATTTTCTTAATCAGGATGTAGAAATTTAGTCAGATTCATGTAATCCTAAAACCAGGAGATAATAGGCCACAAAGAGGAAGGCATTTTGATTGGAGGTGCTCAGCCTCAGTCTGTCACTTAGGGCTTAGAAGGGAGCACCAGGAAATGGGAAATGGTGAAGACAAGCCAGTAACAAATCACTTAAAGCTTCTCCCTAGGAACTCTTCACTAGCAATGCCAGGAAGCTCTTATTATCTTCCAGAAAAAAGGTAGATGTAGCGCCTTGGATACTGGGCTGAGGATTTGTGCCACGTCCTATCGCCTGTGCTGCTCAGCCTGGCTGCACAGCAGAACTGTGGGTAAGAAACCAGTCAGGAGAAGGAGAAGGAAGGGAATGCAGTATGTACCTTTTTAATTTCGATGAACAGTCACCTTTGGAGCCTGACAATATATGCATTGAATGAAGAAAAACAAAGTGAGTTGTAGCACAAAGTATAGGAACATTTGCTCTTTCTTATTCTTTAAATGTTCAAGGTTTTACAATTAACATTTTACATTTACAGACTACAGATTTTTTTTTCTTTATAAGAAAGAACATGTTCAGAACTGGGAAGCTAGAGTGTAGCTTAGGTTCACAGGTGAATCTACTGAGCCCAGGGTTTGAAAGGTTGTAGGCAAAAAGGAGTGGCCAGTTGTTTGAAAGGAGATAATACTGGAGTGGCTCCTGGGGAAGATGAGTAAACAGCAGTGAGCAGAGTGGGGTTTGGACAACAGATGGGAGGGGGAGCTGGGAGATCTGGCTCAAAGGGTGGGTGGGAGGAGCCAGCACCTGACATGTGACTCCTGTGCTGTATCACAGTGGTGTCATCAGCCTGTACCAGGACACTTAGAGCCTGATGGGCACCTTACGTTTGCTCCATTTTTTGCAAGCATTTTATTTAAAGGTTATTTCTTAGGTAAAGTAGTTGAATCTTCTTTTTCCTTGCTTTTTCTTTTTAGGTTCTCATTAGAAACTGTTCTAGAGCAGTGCAGATTATATTCACTGCCTCTGCCACCCAATAGCCTTCACAGTATTTGACAATGATCCTTATATTCCACCCCCACCAGTTCAAATGAGTCACTTGGTAATCAGTCACATTACCTTAATGACTCATTGAGCTACAGCTCTTGAGTTGAAGCTCTCAGGATCAGGTAAAAGTCAAGCATGATAGTGAGTCAGTGAGCTCCTATGGTCCAGCCATGGCAATGCACACAGGATTAGACCCCTTGGTGGGAATTAAAAGGAAAGAGACAGTAATGAGGGATGTTAAAGTGAAGCAGTTTTAAAAAATCATTGGCACCATATTGGATGTGAAGCTTTAGGACTTTTGGGACAGTAGAAACACAACTGAAAGATAAGTATGAGTTTTGAGGCAAGGAAAGCAATTGATAAAAATGGGGAAGGGGCCAGGCATGGTGGCTCCTGCCTGGAATTCCAGCTACTCAGGAGGTGAAGTTGGAGAGAACCAAGATTCAAGGCCAGGCTGGGCAAAAGGTTAGCAAGACCCGCATCTTAACAAATAAACTGGGTATGATGATACATGCTTGTTATCCATGCTACCTGGGATAACAAGGATTACCCCAGGTAATAAGGGATCCATGCTACCTGAGATATACCTGGGAGGTGTATGTAGGAAAATTGCGGCCAGAGAGCCTATTTGAAAATAACTAAAGCAAAAAGGGCCGAAGGTATGGCTCAAGTGGTAGAGTGCCTGCCTAGCAAGCACCAGGCCCTTAGTTCAAACCCTAGGACCGCAAAAAGAAACCTGGGGAGGTACTACGGGTGGTAGAGCATTACTGTGCTTATTGCCTAATAAGGTTCTCTGACATTTCCTCTGCTGGTTCTGACTGTTGTAAGAAGGCCCTGCCTGCCTAACCACTTTGCTCCTGGTGGTTGGCTTATGGTAGTTCTTGGTGAAGACTTACTAATCACATCCCGTAATCTCTTCCAAGCAACATTTGGAATCACTACTCTTTTTTTTTTTTTTTAAGTGCAGTTCTGGGGATCAAACCCAGGGCCTCATGCATGCTGGGCAAGCATGCTGTACCATTGAGCCACACCTCCAGTCCCCGACATCTATATTTTCAGCTGTTTGTTGGCTTTTTGCTTTAGCAGAGGTGTTTAAAAAGAGATGTTACCAAAACTTCAGCTCAGCTCTTGATTCTCACTGACTTCGTTTTGCTTGCCTCCTGAAGAATGACAGCCTTCTTCTGAGAATAGGAAAGAAAGGGATTTTAACCATCCCAGGCATTAACAACCTTTCAGTCCCTCTCAGACATCTGCTCTCTCTCCTCACTTTTCTAGCAAAAGCATCCTGGTTGCAAAGCGAGCAGGTGGTCTCAAGCTATTTGCCCACAACCTCACAATTAAGTGACATTTATGACATGAACTCTTCAACACAGGGTAAGCTTATAAACAAAGGTTTGTTATCACTTCGTGTTTCCCAATATTGAAGCAAAATTGTGACTTAAGTGGTATTTGTAGCATGTTGATGCCATTTTCCTGGGGTACCTACCGATAGTGGGAAACGTAGAATGGCGGCCACGGGAGTCACTCAGCTTTCCAGCTGGCAGAAGACTAGATACTGAGCAGCCCCAGATAAAGTCTGCTGAATGCATTCTTGCCACTACATTTCTCCAGCCAGCACTGCTGCTGAAAAGCAGTTGGGGCTCTAACAGAAGGCTTCACTGGCTAGATTAATGGCATGAGATGCATAACTACTGTCACATCATTGCAAAAAGAAAATCTCAGGGTCTTTTCTCTTCCTCGGGGCTAGGCCCCCTCCAGCAACCACAGGGAGCACATGTTGGCTCCACGTGGACTATGACATGATAGCTTCTTGCTGGCCAAGCGCCAAGCAACCTTTGATCCCTAGACTTGATGTACGAGGGGGAGGGGGTCTTGTTTGGTTTTGGTAGGGACAGGGTTGGGAACATCTTACCAAAATGTGATCTCAGGAGTAGCCCATAAAGGAACTAACAATTTTGCCCATTAAGTATATTATTTATTATAAAAAGAAGGAAAAGAACAAGAACACTATTGTTGGACTTTCAACGGACTTTTCAATAATGCTGCCATAGATGAGACAGAATTTCCTGAGGTCTGTTGAGTCTCTTAGAACAAACTTTTATATGAGGTCCAGAACAAACTTTTATATGAGGTCCAGAAGATGAGCTTCGTAAGAAACATTGCTCGTAACAAGCCAGCAGATTCCAGTATTGTGTAAAGTATTTTTGATAAATCATACTTTCATATGCATCTGTAAATGCTGTGCCAGAATAAGAATTAAACCAAAAGTCATTTGTGAGTCAGATGAAGTGCAAGAGATTCTCAGCTATTCTCTGGCACACTGAAATTTAAACTTTTATTAAAAATTTTTAAGACAGGATCTCACTCTTTTGCCCAGGCAGATCTTGCGTTTTGGGGCTCAAGTGATCCTCCCATTTCAGCCTCCAGAGTAGCTGGAACTACAGGCTTACACCATTGTACCCAACTAGCATTTTGAAATTTCAGAATGGAATGGAAGAATTGGCTAAGATTATTTGGCAGCAAAACAATAAAGGCATAAAAGTTGCATTCATTAGGGGATAAAATCATTTTTCAGAAATTGAAGCTGTTTGCATATAAGACTAAATTCCAGATTCATATTTTTAAGGTGCATTCCCCCCAGTTCTCAGTATTTCCTAGCCCTCAATCAGTATGAAACAGCAGTTACATGGGGACAGATTGTGTCATTTAATGTTGATTTTGGATTCTCCTGATGTCAGCCTCTAGGAAAAGCATTTATTTATTTTTTATTATTGGGAAAGTAAGTCATGGTGGACATACACACTCCCTGTCTTTTGCTGTTTTTTAAAAACAATCTTCATGTAATGTCACTTTTTTGATTAAAATATTAACAGCTCATCATTGCCAACCTAAACCACACAAGCCAGTAACAAATGATCCCATCTCAAGCCATGCTCTCCACCTGAGGATCCACTGCAAGTAGTCTTCACTCTTCACTCAGTGGTGTGCTGTATATATTTTGTTCTGTTTTACTTCCTTCATACTTTTCATATGTTTACATTTAGTGGAGCTCAGGTGCCACCTCCTAAAATTTATACTTAATCCTTTCAACCCAAGTTAATCTTTTCCTCTTCTGAAAATATATTAATTCACTACATATTTAATATTTACTGAAGATTTGATATATGCCATATGATATGCTAAGCACGGCAGATACTCTCAGGCCTTTATGGAGCTTTAGTGGGGACAACAGATAGTTAAAAAATACACAAATTAGTAAACCAGACAATTTTGGAGTTCAATAAAGAAAAGACAACAAGAAAGTTGTCATGGCATACATTTCACAGTTTGGAGACTTGGATTGCCTTTTCTCATTGCCACTAAGCATCATAGTAAGGAAACAGTTTTGAGGAACTCAGATTCTCTCTTAATGAAGCTTTGTTCCTAATTTACAAATACTAAATAACCAAAAGCAGATAAGTTCTCTGATTAGCATCCATTTAGTTCAGTAAATAAATATCTAGCTTGTAAATGGAACCACAGAAGGCCAAGTAATCAGTTAGGCTTTTTATTTAATTTCTGTTTTAGGCTGGGTACTAGTGGCTCCTGCCTGTAATCCTAACTACTCAGGAGGCAGAGATCAGGATTGCTGTTCAAAGCCAGCCCCAGGCAAATAGTTCAAGAAATGCTATCTTGAAAATACCCAGCACAAAAAAGAGCTGGCAGAATGGTTCAAGTAGTAGGGTGCCTGCCTAGCAAGTGTGAGGCCCTGAGTTCAAACCCCAGTACCCTCCCCCCCAAAAAAACTGCTTTTTTAGGATATTCATTTCATTATTGATTTTTACAACATTTACCAAATTCAACCAGTAATTTTAAATTTTGTTTTCTAGTTTCTTTAAATAGAGATAGAACAGAATGGGACAACATGGAACAGAATCTTATCAAGAAAGTGAGAAATCTTCGCCAGAGACTCACTACCCAGGCTCGAAACAGATGCCAGACCCCTCATCTTTTGGCTATGTAGAAGTTGTGTCGACGTAAAACAGAGAGATGTCTGTGTGTAATCAATGATACTGAATTTTAGATTATTTATTCAAATTTTGTATAAAGACCTGCCTTTTGTATAGAAAAATATGCTTATGAAAATTATGTGTTCTATTTAATTCTAATACTTTTTGGCTTATAAATGGCTTCTTGAACTTTTCACAATAAAAGTGTTTGGGAACTTCTTAAAGCTGTGTTGTGGACTGACTGGATCACCACTCTCCTGCCCTGCAGCAGGACTTCCCTTCACTGGCAGCCCTGAAGCAGGCACAGATACCCGTTTCTCCAGCTTCTCCCAGCTGCACCAGACACTCTGCTTCTCTACCTCTCAGAGCTCCTCAGCTGGGCCACTCATGGCTTCACAGACCTGACTGGAGTTTCCTCTGTTTCTAAAAGAACGGTAGAAATAGTTCATGGACTTACTGTCAGGATTATATCAGAACACGTATCTGAAGTTCCATGCTTACCATACGGTAAGTGTGCAATCCATGATAGCAATTCTTTTTTCTGGGACCACAAGGATAAGTTGTGAACCAAATACTTCAGTCAGCCAAGTGCTCACTCTCGTCCAAGAGGCAGAGTACTAAAATGCTGCCCTGTCACTGCAGGGCACTGTGTCCTAGGAGCAGTTTCCTCAGCCTCACTTTCGCTATGTTCCAGTGGTTATGAGGCAGGCTTTCGTGGGCTGAGTTGGTGTCACAGGATATAAAACTAGTGCGTGACGGGCACTTCAGTGAACTAGAAACTTCTTGCTCACCTAGAAGCATTTAGGTCCTAAAATACTGTGATTCTGCCTGCCAGAATCAGCTGTATATTGCCAATTTTTTTGCCTCTTTCAGGTCCTCTTTTACTAGAATTTATACCTGCTCAGATTGGTTTTACTTTTGCACATAAGCATGCATATATATAATAATAGTTCATTTAAAAGTTTCTGTCCTTGCAGCAAAAGTCAGTTATGAATACTCTCACCCAAACAGAGTTGTTTTGTTTTTTTTTTTTTAATCACATTCTTGGAGCTTTCTCTGAGGCTACAATTTCTCCCAGTAATAATCTTGATATAGTCACTCTGCATTAGCAGATTTCAGACACTTGGCTGAGTGTCTTTCGTTACATGTGCTTAGTTGGCATTTCAAAGGTTACCACATTTAATGAAATTCATAAAATACATTTCTGGTTATATCTCTTCCTGATTCTTGACCTTACCCCAGTTTCTTTATAATGTAGGTTCTCTGCAATTGAATAAGGGTTGACTTGGCTAAAAATCTTCACACGCTGGCTGCATTCAGAGTTTCTCTCCAGTACTCCCTTGAGTTTGATGAAAGAAGATATGCCTAATGCCCTTATCCTGATTGTTACATTTAAAAGGTTTCATTCTTGTGCAAACTGTACACTGTGATTAAATGTCAGGCTTCACCTAAATCTCTGTCCACATTTGACTGCACTTAGAGCTTCTTTCCAGTGTGAATTGAATGGTGTTGAGGTTACTGACTTGGTTAGAGGCCATTTCACATCTGTTCACATCCATTCATAGGGTTTTCTCCAGTATGAATTATGTGATGTTGGGTGTGATTTGAGCATTTTCTAAAGACCTTTCTACAGTGACTACACACTGACCCCTCAGCAGTTGGTTGTGACACGGACTGTATAAAGCTTAATTTATGAATATGGGTGCACTTATCAGTGATTCTGAATTTAGTGTTTAATCTCGTTTTATTAAGAAACACCACACAAGAATTTGGACAGGGGAAGGGTAATAAAAAGACTTACAAAACTCTGACAAGGGACCAGCTGTAGATGTAAAGAGAATACTAACAGGTATCAAGGACCAAGGGAGAGTACTCAAGGAAGGTCAAGGAAGGGACGCCCTCCCCAAGGCTTGGGGTCAGACCTGTCAGAGAATGTGTGGATAGTGGGTGGTTCACAGAGTTGTCCAGGCCAGAGTTAGTCCATGGCCGCAGCCAGAAGGAAACAACTCCCGGCACACTCCATCCCAAGTTGGTGAGTGGCCGTGTGTGGGAGTCAGGGTGTCAGGACCCCATTCATCAGTGTGGAGTGTGTCCTGGCATGCACACTATCCATATGGGGGAGCCTCAGACACAGGCAAACCAAGGCTGGCAGGCAGGTGCTTAGAGTGTTCCAGGTCTGCTGCTGGCTGAGACCTGGAACCTGCCATGGTCGTGTTGGAAGGACCGCAGTGAAGCACTCAGCTGGGGCTGTGAAGTCAGGAGGCCATTGCACTCCACCCCCAGTATCCAAGCTTAGGGCACAGCCATCAAGCAGAAGCAAGACTAAGCAAAACAGCACAGTAGGCTAAAGAGCTGCCCCTTCCTCCTGCAATGTCCTCCAGCGCCCTCTGTTGACAGCTTCAGAGCATGCCAGAAGAGTCCAGGCCACTCCCGCAGAGCAAGAACTGAAGGGTGAACTTGAAGCCATGATATATCTATAACCAGCAATGGGAGTGGCTCCACAGCTTGCTCTGTCAGTTGACACTTGTGGACTCTATAATTGGCCTCTATCTAATGAGATTGATGTGCCAGAATGAGATGAGATGCCAGAATTTCCCTGGCAAGATGTAGATGAAGGTGTCCAAAGTTTAGGAATTTAAGAGTGCATTTATGAACTGGCCTTGCCCACCTGACTGCATGTGCTGGGCCCAGGAGACCCTTGCTTTGTTAAGGACAGAGTGAAGGAAGCATCTGCAGACCTGAGAAGCTCCGTGGTGGCTCTCCGCTGGCCACGTGTGCCAGCCAACAATGGGATTCCATGGTAGAGGGGCCAAGAGGCAGCTTTTAATTACCAGAGACAACAGTTCACACTTGCAGTTTACAAGAGCAGCAGGGAAGTAGTAGTAAAGGGTCTTTGGCTACCGATAATTGATTGTAGTGGCCCTAAGAATGAAGCAAGCATTCTAGTAAAATGTCTGAATGTAACAGGAAACACTCTAAACTTGATGGTCAGAAGCCTGACTTGAATCACCACAAAAGAGCCCTTCCTGTCTGCATGACCCAAAGTCATCCCAGAGTCTCTGGGTTGAAGAGGAGGCCAAGGCCCCCTTGAGGAAAGACCCTGAGGGGGTCACATGTTCATGCCATGTGTTCTCTAAACCTTCCCCAAGTGGACGTGTTGCAAGTTCCTTGAATGATGTCTAAGGAAAACATACTGGGGCACCAGTGAAAATCAGGACAAGCGGTGGGAGGGTGATCCGTGATCCCCGAGTCTTGGGCAAAGTTTGAATTACCATCAGTGACTAGGACTGGAAACTAACCTGTGTCATCTTCCACGTACCTGAATACATAACAAATGGCAGCGTCTCCACCCTGGCTCTAGACCCATTGAGTAAGGTTTTCCTATCAGGATAGTAACCAGGTCATTACCAGTTACCTCGGGGAACTGCAGAGGTGGGAAGATGGGGGCTGGTTCTACCCGTCCCATCCCGATAGAATTTGCTATTTGACCTTTGAGAGTGAACTGACGAGACAGCGGGGTGCGCCCTGGCAGCTGCCTGCAGGAATCCGGGGGCCCCTCTCCACAGCCTGAGCGCATGCGGTCACCGCGGTGCTCGGCTGCTCCCCCGTCCGCCTCTCCCCCCGGTTGCCCCCAGCCTCGGCAGCCCCTCGTACTCCGCGACGCAACCCAGGGCCGTCCACCACTGTTCCGGACGGCCAGCACTCACGGCCAAGGGCAGGACGGACCGAGGCGCGGGCTATCAGGGATGCGGGTCCACGCTCGGCCACGTGCCAACCTCCTGGGCGACCCCGGGCCACAGGGCTCACTCGCGTCCTGGCCCAACTAGGCGCGCTCAAGAAACTCTCCACTTAACGTTAATCTCAGGCTCGAACAAGCAAGTAAAACCCATTCCTCTCACAAAAGTAAAGAGAGAGTAGACAAAAGTATTGTGCCCCGTGTGAGGATCGAACTCACGACCTTCAGATTATGAGACTGACGCGCTACCTACTGCGCTAACGAGGCACCTAGGCGGTGCTTCCGGCTGTAGCCTAATGAGGCTGGCGCAGCAGGTGCAGCGCGCATGCTCCAAATCTGCAGCCTTCCCAGCCCGGGACAACTGAAATGTACCCATCTCTCTGCCCAGTGGGATTCCCACACTTGCCCTTCTTTCTTCCTCCGCCTGCTTCTGTTTGTCAATTAACAAACACTGCAAGCTGCTTGCTAACGCGGCACTGGCTAGGGGAAACACGGAACAGGGATTCTTTGTGCTGCTGCTGTGTTTTCATTTTTGTATAGTGCTCATAAAGCATTTTTACGCTCGCGATCTCGTGAAACATTTAATATGCACCTACTGTGTTCCTAGCACTGTGCTGCAGGCTGCGTTCTCAGGGACACGCCTAGCCTGGAGGAATTGGGCTGGGGTGGGGGATGTGGACAGAGTGGAAATGATTTGCAAACGCACACACACGTGGTTCTGCGTGAGGTGCAGCCTGGTTCCCAACCTCCGGGCGCCCCAGATCTCCACCGCCGCCCCAGAAGGTCCTGACCCGCCTCCCAACCCCGGAAACGAACCTGGAGCCCCAGCCCCCTCATCTGAGAAGCCTCCTCCTTCTCCTCCTTCCAGTTCTTTACATCAGCTCCTTTAAACGCAGGCTTTTAAAGGAAACTTTGTGTCGCTGTCATAACTGGAAAACATGTAGGGTGCTGGTTCTAATTAGAGTCATCACAAACACACAACTATTAATATAAGTTTTAAAAACTCTTTTATGTAACCGTATAAAATCGGCCAGACTAAGGCACACCGAAGATTGGTATATTTCGCCGTATTTTAGGTGCATTTTACCTAAAAACCGGAAGGCGTGCAGAAGCGCCGAAGTGCGCGCAGAGATGAGACCGTTTGCGCGACAGACGGCTGCCAGGACAGAGGTGCGGGGATTGGGGTAGCGAGTGCAGTAAGAGCTTAGTGGAGACGCAGTTTGCGGTGGACGGACATTCCCGGTACAGTTCTGTAGACTTTTGTGTTTACCTGAAATGTTTCCTTGGAAAACGCTGGGTGACAAATGTTTCCATCACCCAGAAGTGGAGAGGGCGGGTGGGGGCTAGGGACACATGGCGGTAGGG